CAAATCATGAACTGTTTTTAATTTGCCTCATTAAACGGCCATCAACTGCATCAAGCCATCTGTTTAAAAATAATCTACACATATTTTGTTTGCACTTGAGAGCATGTAGACCTTCATTAGAACAGATTTTATTATTAATGGTATCTTTAGGGGGCTTTATGTTATTGTAGGAAATATCTCACTGCTTGCACCAAACTTTTCCCATAAACAAAAGGAGGAGTCACATGTTGTTACCTTGCAGTCTTGCTGTCCTAACTGTATATCTGGGAAGCACTGCAGTTTGTTTATAAACCAGCTCTGAAGGAAGTTATTTGCATCCGTTAGGTAGATCTGGGTGTAAGAAATGAGAACAAGTTGAGTGAATGCACAGTGTCTGGGTTACCTAATTTGGATTAAAAAAGAGTCCCAGAATTTCATCCAGATAAATTATAGTGTCTCAGATGTGGTTGAGATTAGAAAGCCCTACTGTTTCAGCCTTGGAGAGCTATCCGAGGGAGAACACTATACTTGATCTGTCTCTTCCTGCTTATGTACCTGCAGAACCCCTTCTTGTTATTTTACACATTTCTTACCAGGTTCAGCTCTATCTGTGCCTTGGCTTTCCTAATTTTCTTTCTCCACACATGGGCAATGTCCCTATATTCCTCCCAGGCTACACAACCCTGCTTCCACTTCCCGTACGTTTCTTCCTTTTCCCTTGTTTAAGCTGCAGGTCCTCGCTCAGCCATGCCAGTTGCCTGCCTCCTCTGCTCAGTTTCTTCTGCTGGGAGATTGAGAACTCTTGCACTCTAGAAGGGTATCCTTAAAGAGCTGCCAGCTCTGTTCTATACCTATGCCCTTAAGGACAGTTTTCCAGGAGATCCCACACAACAGTTCCTTGAGCAGCTGGAATTTTGCTCTCCTGAAGTTCAGGGTCTTTTTGCCAGGCCTGCTTTCCTCCAGATCACAAACTCCAGCAGGGCATGGTCACTACAACCCAGGCTGCCTCCAGTCTTAACCTCTCTAATGCTCTCCTTCTCATTGGTGAGCACCAGGTTCAGTAAGGCTTCACCTCAGGTCAGTCCATCTAATACCTGGACCAGGAATTTATCCCCAGCAAACTCCAGGAATCTCCTGGATTGTCTGCCACCACCATGCCACTATCCCAGCAGATATCCAGGTGGTTGAAATCCCCCATCAGGACAAGAGCCCATGAGCACAACAATCTCCTGCAGTTGGAAGTGTGGATGGAGCAAACTTGTCATTGAATTCCTTCGTGTGGAAACGGTTGTGCCGGTTGACATGAACTGACATTGGCTGAACCAAACAGTGGGTATGAGTCCTGTGAGTATGTTTTAGCAGTGGTGATAGTGACAGTGTCACCTCTGCTGGTACAGATTTTGACGAGTGTGGCATGCAGGTTCTTGTTCATCGCTAGAGAAAATGCACAGCTAATGGTGGTGACTGTTAAAAAGTAGTATTTTGTCGCTGAGAACGTGCTCTATCAAATAATGTTATCGTGCTCTTTGTATCCGTTGTAGTCTCCATGGAGATATATAGAAAGCATTACTTTTGGAGTGACCTATATAATTGCATTTGGTTGCAAACGTTGATTATATTCTTTGCAACTGCCCCTACTACCCTTAGAATAAGAATTCCCAAGGAATTCTTGGCTGGAATCACTTCCCTTTTGAAAAAGATCATCTGGGCCTACTTTAAGAATGAAAAGGGGGTGAGGGGAAGGATGTAAAAATCTTAATTTATCTTTGTTTTGAAAAAAGTGATCTAAAAATGTATACTTGTCATTGAATAGAATATGTGGTTTCTGTCATATTGGATATGCCTTCACGCTTCTGTTCTCTTTGCTATATTTGTCTTATATGAAAGAATTTTCCTTCAGGATTTCATTGTAAAATAGCTTTTTACACTAAAAAACTTTAAATGACATAGAGCTGATTACATAATTCTTATAGACCACATATGTGAAAAATTAGATCCATGTTCAAATTTGCAAAATACTTAAACTTTTTAAGCATAATACCTTCAAAGCCATCTAACTGAAGAGTAGTGCCAAGTCTCTATCACAAACTCTTTTATTCAAATCACGACCTCTGTGTTTTGTTCTCTGGATTGGCATGCAAGGTTAGGGCTGATTAAAAAACTTACAAATATCTTATGTGCAAAACATGTTTATGAGTAAAACATTTTGAGCTGAGCTGAATTAAATGTCTGAGTCTGAGTTCTGGCTCAAAGAGCAGAAGAGATAACCACTGTGGACCACACAACAATAAGTTTTGGTAGGGAGCTATCTGTGTAGGACAGAATGATACGTGATATCCCAAATCCACATCTGTGTTTTTAAAGGATCTTGAAAAATATTGCTTTGGCATTTCCATGCTAAATGAGAGAAGCTTGTCATGAAAAGTTGTTTAATTTTCAGTCATTTCTATTTATCATCCTTACATCCTCAGTGCAGCAAATTCTGCTTTGGCAGCTTCTTATTACCCAGAAGATGATCTCAGGATGATATTGCCAGGAGCGCAGCTAACACAGCTTGTAGGAATGGGAAAAATTGCTGCTCTTAAACATCATCTTTCCCTTTCCTGCTGCAGATGAGATGGCACAGAATGAGCTTGCCCTTTCTGACAGATCTTCCCTGAGGTCTAGCTGTGAATGGCACCAGCTAGGAGTGGTGGAGCCTGGTGTTTAATCCAGGAAGGAGCTTTGAAAACAGATGGTAGTTGTGATGCTTGCAAAATGGCAATAAGCAAAGACCTGTTGCAGGGAGCTGAGGCACTCCGGAACTCCTCACTTTACAGTGTTTTTGTCTCTCTGCTTGAACGGGAGGAGAATCTGCACTTGAGAAACTTGCACAGCTCTGTGCTATGAACACACGAAGGTGGTGCAAAAGAGGCGGCTTTGGAGGTGGCTCTGTGCTGTGTCTCCTGATGCCACTGGCTCCTGCGTTCCTTGTGCTTTTCAGCCAAGACAAGAAGGAATGTGGAGGAGGAGGAGAGCTGCTGGCCAGGACAGTTCTCAAATGACTGTCTGAAGAAGCAGGAGTGAAACAGGGAGCATTTCTTGTAATTGATTTTGGGAAGTCTCTTGGGACATGGATTTCCCACTTGAAGAAGGGATTGTTTCCCACTCATCTTCCTGTTCTTGTGCCCTGGATCCAGCTGGAGAGAAATGCTGCTCAGAGACGGTAGCAGCCCTGTTGTGACATCTGTGAGGGACACCTGGTGCACTAGCTGCACTGGCAGCAGCCTTTGAAGTGACAGAACTTGGCTGAAGAGGAGGCAGATGTAGTTTTATGCTGCATCTCAGTTGAAGGCAGTCCCTTGAGTAGTGCTGAGAAGAGCTGTAACTTTGAAGTCCTGAGACGATTTGTTTATTTTACTCTGACAACCATGGACCCTTAGTTCTCCTGTCTCTGTGAGAGCGTAATCGTTCCTTGAAGGAGTAATTTCTGGTGCTTGGACCTGAGGAAGAAAATGACTCATTGCCTGAATGCCCTCTTACAGCTTAGAACTAGAAAACTGATTGTTTTTACTTAAATCACAGAATACTTGGGTATGAAAATCTCAGAGGTGCTGGGATGAGAAAAAAAGGGGTATGAAATTATTTTCCCCAAACTCACAACCGAAACACGTGGGAAAGCTAACAGGCTTTCTGTTTGCCTCTACTTATGTTCAGAAATCCTTGAGTAATTAGCAAAGGAGTTGAAGGGCAGCAAGAAAAATTAGGTAAAAGCGTCTACCTGCTCTGAATTTCTGCTTGTAACTCTGGAGACAAGGAAGCATGCAGGGCATAGCAGTGCTTGCAGTAAAAAATGGGAGAGCTCTGATTTTCTTTTACACCTTTATCCCAGAAAGTTTGTAAATAATATTGCTTTTCTGAGGAAGTTTGAAAGGAAATATTGCATCTTTATTTATGTATTTGTTTTTCCCATACAGCGAAATGGGAATTGCATGATTATAACAACTGTGCATAGGGCAGTGGATTTCTGACATTGTGACAAAGTCATTCTTAAATGTTTCCTCACTCGGTAGTGAGCAGACTAGAACTTCTGATACCAGCTGCTATACTGAAAATGAAGAGGCTATGTGCTGTTCTGCTTGGAAATGCTTATTAAATCTCAGAGATCATAACAGTTTTTGAAAGAAGTGTGTGCACTGAGAGAGTGCTCACCTAGGTTGGAACAGGAGCTCCGAAACACTGTCAGACCATCAGTAAGCTTCATGTGAGAAGGATGTGTGATGTCACCCAGACAGAAAACATAGGTACTTCTCAGGTTGTCTGTCAGCACAGAGTTGCATGTGACGCTACTTGTGAAATGTCATCTCTGCAAGAATGGAAGAAGGTGGCAAAAAGTTATCTGTGCATTAGGAGATCTAGGTTATGTGGTGCTGAATTCAAGTAGTCAGGCAGCCTTGCAGTGTAGCACATGATGTGGCTGCTCAAGCCTAGAGAAACAGAGAAGGGCTTGTGGTGTGCAAGGAGGAATTTAAATTAGAGCATTTACTTTGAGAAATTCATTAGTCTGTTAAGTAACTGTTCTGTTGGAAGTAAAAATCTCCTGGAAAAATTAGATTCCTTTTAGTTCATGGTGATTTATAGCCAGCCACATGGCCTAATTGCATCCTGGATACTGAGCTCTTACACTTTAGTATATATACACGCATACACACATATAATATGTACAACCCTAGCAGCAAAACAGTTAGGTGCTGTGGAATGAAGTAAAAACTTTGGTTAAATTAAATTAAATTTCTGACATAAGGTACAGTCTGTGTAGACAACAAGTAGTGGGCATGGAAAATTACCCTGCCTCCTATGAGTATTCAGATCTATGAAAAAAGTTGGAAGGGAATACATTACAGCCTTGTTCTAGTAAATAGGCTTAAAATAATGATAATTCTACAGTGATATATATTCAAATGAAAGCTTATGTTTTAAGTAAATGAAAGGTGTTATTATATAAGCTCTTCAATTTTTCTTTACCTCTTTTCTTCCTGCAGATCACACGTCTGTGGGCGGGCTGGGAGACAGTTTTTATGAATATTTATTGAAAGCCTGGCTTATGTCAGACAAAACGGACACAGAAGCAAGAAAAATGTACGACGATGCCATTGAGGTGATTATAATTCATTGAGTTTTCCTGTATAGTAGAATTAAAAAGCATATTTAAAGATTGAAAAAAAAAAAACACCGAACAACATATAGGACTTGTTTTGATTATGTAAGCTTTTTCCCTGAGTAATTCAGAAAATATTATTGTGAAATATATCTGATGCAAATTGCTGTGCTAAAAACGTCAGCTCATCCAAAGTGTTACAATGGAATAATCCAAAGAACATTTTATTGGAAATAACTATTAATGTAAGATGGAAATAACTATTAATGTAAGATGTACAAGGTGACCAAGTTTTTGTTTGGTTGGTTGGTTTTTAATCCCAGGTTCAGAGTAATTCAAAAAATTAAAAGTGCTGATTTGTTTTATTCTTCAAATTGTATTCTAAAATGTTTAGATGTTATATTTGATATTTATCTTATAAAATACAATTCATACCTCTTCCTTGCTCTATCAATCTTTTGTAATATGGTCTTGTTTGTTCTCACAAATCAAGTAGTGCCAGCCCAAGGGGACCAGAGGCAGTTCTGGGGGATTTTGGGTAGGGACTTTTTTGTAATGCCTCTGAGCTTTATGATGCATGACTATTCTTCCTCAGTGTGCTCATACACAGGTGTCTTATTTTGTCGGGCTCACTTGTACCTATATATGTCCACGTACTTAAGCTACAGTTAAGAATACAGAATATTATATAACTATAATAATATTATATGATAATAATAGTTAATACAGGTAAGAATAACAGAGAATGACAGTGAAGCTAGCTTCAGTTGAGTTAGCTGTGGTGCAAACAGCAGCAGGGATTGTGTGATCTTGTCCACATGCAGATTGATACTTGCTGCCAAACCTATTCCAATCTCTGTGCATGTCGTGTTGCTTTCAACACAAGCCTTCAAAGCTCAGTTACAGTGCAGGCAGTTTCCTAAAGAAAAATCTCTGTTCTTAATGTTCTGAAAATTCACATTTTAAAAAATAAATGTAATGAAATTCCAGTTGCTTTGAAACTGTAATGTCTTATTTCAGACCTGAATTTCATCAGCTTTGGCTTTCAAGTACTTGAACTTTTTTACACTGTTTTAAAGGATTATCCTATTACGTAGCTGTTACCAACAAAAGTATGAGGCAGGCCCTTCCGAAAGGGATGCATGATATCCTTTTATGTCACATTATAAAACAGTTCTTCCAGACTTTCAATAACTTCTTAAGCTCTAAGTATTTTCCAGTGTCTTTATTTCTGTGGAGGCAAGAATTAGATATGTAGTTTCTGTAATGGTTCTGCTAATTCTAATAACTACCTGGTTTCTTCCTAGTTTCTCCTCTTCACCCAGCTCTTTACTCAAGAGCTGTGTTTGCATTCTTAACCTTTGCATCCCACTCTCATCCATTTCCTAGTTGGTTATATTCTGAAGTTTGTTATAGTATTTTGATTTACTGCTCTCCTGCTGTGATTTACATTCCCAATTCCCTGATGTGTGACCTTATACTTATCTCTGTTAAAACACAATAGTTCAAGTGAAACCTATTTTATCACTTTTTCTGTATGACTTTATAGGGCCTTATCACTATCTGTATCACTGTCTATACCTGCATCACTTTTTGTGTCATTTGCAAGTTTTTCTCACATGTTTTTCTTGTAGATTACTGGTAGAAATGCTGCCTGCCATTGAATAAAATCATCCTTTCAGAATCTTTATAGAATGAGGATTTTTTTACAATTTCTTTTGAACTGTTCTGGTAGCCTGGTTTAGCATTAAATGTGGAGGTTGGTGGCCCTGCATGTGGCAGGGGGGTTGGAGATTAATGATCCTTGAGGTCCCTTCCAACCCTGGCCATTCTGCCATTCTATCAGTCCAGCTATTAATCCACTTTGTACGTGCTGCCTAGATTTTGTTTAGGACCAATGTTTTGTACAATACCAAAGAAACTCCTAATATTCTTAATGATATCAGTATGCAATTGTCAATCAATCATTTATTTTTTCAAACTACATAACTAATTTTATATGGTTCTTTCGGTAACCTTTTAAAATACTGTTACATCATCAATTATTTCTCAGTCTTTATGAATTTTGTTAGCTTTCCAGGGTTTGCATAAATCAGTGTTAATAACTCAAAGCAGTAGCTGAATTCTTTCAGAAGTTTTAGATGCAGATTCTTTTGTGTCCTCTGGGATTTAAAATGGCTGTTTAGCTTTTAACATCTGTTGTGGTTACTGTTTAAATATTTTATTCTGGCGCTTAGATGCTGGACACTTGAAAATTAGAGAACATAAACTTTGATTCTCTTTGATGTATGTCCAGTCTCACAAATATTTTATGTGGGCAAATCTCTGTCTTTTTGAGACACAGCAAAGCAAATTTGGAACTAGAAAGGATAGTGTGCATAGGAGGGAGAAAGAGCCAAACTATTCCTGCTTCCTAAGTGATATGACCTGCATTGCATCAGAATGTTTTCCCTTTGGCTTTCTCTCAGCCAACCCCAGCAGTGCACATTTGAGTCTACATGAGCAATACTGATTTATATGTTTTGGAATATCCTTTTGGATCAGACTTTGTAATTATTTCAAGTCCTACTCAATACTGAAAGAGACATGCAAGGAGTCAGAATGCAAAGAGACATGGAAAGAGTCAGGGTTTTGTCTTACATAATTAAATTTTGAATTTTGAATTAAAATCTCCAATTATTTTCAGAGCCAATTCCTTCACTCTTCTTTTACTGTTGCCTGTACCGTAGTTCTTCCTTCACAGATAATATTTCTTATTGTTTGTTTTTCAAAACATCGAGCCAAGTTTTGGTGTCGTTTATACAAACAGAAGGGGAAGGGTGTAAAATACATTCTTCCTACTCATAGTACAGGGTTGGAAATGTTCTCAGCACCCACCAGACTAAAAGAGGGTATCTGTTCTGCCACACTGCACTCCCTTAGCTTATATAATGAAGAGTGTAGAAGATATAACACCACACCCTCCCTCTCAGGTCTTGCTGAGACATCCCATCCCTTGAGATACTGAGAGGAAGAAAGATGATAATCACACATGTTTTTCAAATGCTATGTTTCCCAATCCATGCCATATAAAGTCTTAGCCAAGTCACCACATAGTTCATAGCAGAAGTGTGAACAAATTCTGTTCTCTACAACCTCTACGTGTTCCTATAACATGAGTATAGCCTTCTACTGCAGAGTATGCATCTTTTCAGTGGCCTGCTGTGTAGATTCACAGAAATTGTGAAATTCATTGAGAATTTTTTGTGGTGATAAATGCTGAGGATGAACTTACTTGCATTCAACATCATCATGTGGACTTTGTATGCAGCCTGGCTTAAAGTACATTCTCCTCCTCACATTGGCTGGAGGTGCGGAAGCTTCCTTTTGATCTGTTCGCTTTGACTGCTCTAAGCTGCTAGATTCACATTGATCTACGCTCTTTGTTATTGCACAGCATCAGATACCCAAAAGAAGAATCCAGCAGTGTGTTCAGCTATCAACAACATAGCAAGTTCTGTTCCACGACAGCCCAGAGAATGCAGTTTTTTTGCAATAGTAGAGTCACATACAGTAGGAACATCAGAGAACATTCAGTGTTTACATCTGAGATAATTGTTTTTGTCGTTTCACAGATGAAAGAGAACCTATTTACAACAGTTAATCTCACGTCTCTGGTGTAAATAAATGTTTTCCTTGGAAGCTTAAGTACACGTGTCCACTCTAGAGCATATGTGCTCATTGTGGTCAGGCTGGATGCTATTGCCTTGCAGTACCTACAGGAGTTTTCTGTGGCCCTGGCCATCCAGCCAAGGGTACAAATGTCAGATCTCTTCCAACCTTCTGAAACTTTTCTAATCTAATAGGATCAGTACTCCTGCAATGCCCAGGTGTTCATTTTTAATTTCTATAAATATTAGTTGTCCTTTTTAGGTTGTTGAATAGTGCAGTATTTTGAGAGGATTGTATTTATTTTCTTGTTGAAAGTGCTTGTTTTGCTACTCTGAAGATGGTACTTCATTATTAGCTAGCTAATATATAGCTAGTATAAAATCTTCAAAGCTCTCTTGTTCACTTAAGAAAACAATGTCTTCCTCAAAAAATGGTGCCTCAAGTTTTATGTACTATATGATCATAGAAGTCCTATCATCTTCTCCTCTACATCATTTTTGCCGCAATCTTTTGCCTCGGTCCAGGACAATTGAATCAGTGCAGCTATAGCTATACATCTTAGCATCATCTTCAGCACCTCCTATCTTTCCTGTGCCAATACTTTCAGGATAGGTGAGGTTTTTTAACAGTTAACTGCACCAGGCATTCTGGCAGTAGAAGCTACAATAGTGTAGCAGTCCTCAATACCAATTTGCATGATTGTTGCACTTTGCAGCCATCAGTTCCTCCTCAGTCACTTATTTCTGCATTCTTTTCACTGGATCCTGCCATGAGCACAAAATTCAGATCTGTCAGTAGTATTAGTGAAGAAATGAACCCAAGATGACTGCAGATCAGCATTTCTCTTTCATTACTTTCAGAATACATGGACTCAGCAGAGGATAGTAGAGGAATTTTACCATCCAAATGATAAGGACCAAGTAAGACGTGGAGCACTGCCATATTATTATACTGTCATCTCCCTGTAATCCTCTGCTTTTATCTAGGGCATACACTTCAGACACATAGGGACTATGAGAGCTGTGTTGGCAGCATAGCTGAGGTAGATTCCAAGCATTCTCACAATTTGGAAAAGTTGCCGCTAGCATTGCAGAATCTCAAGACAAGAACCTGCTCAGAAAACAAAACAAAACAAAACAAAAAAAACATGTACAGCTGTTTCCAATTACTATTTATTTATATAATTGTCTTTCCTGAATGAGGCTCCTAACCTTGGAATTCTGTCCTTTATGATAATAACTTCAAGAATTCTTTTTGGTGTTTTTTTGGCTGCTGGTGGTTGTTGTTTGTTTGCTTTAAAAAGCCATTGGGAAATTTTTGAAGAAAACATTGGAAGACTGTCAGACATTGTTTCAGTCCCTGGATAGTCCAAATAGTGCTGAGTTGAATAAAGCTGCTTTAGCAGCCCTATGGTACTTCAACAACATTAAAATAAATAAATAAAAGTTAACTTGGAGTATCTGTTGTCACAGCTATTTCACAGTTTACTTTAAAATCTGAATTATAAGATGTTAACTGATTAATCCATGTATTTGTTACCTGAATCATGGTAACAGCAAGCAGTAGATACTAGTGATACTACTGTGTGCAGCAGACGTGACCTCCATGTCCAACATAATCCCTGTAGTTATTAAATGCAACATCCTCTTTCTGTGTGGTTTCAGTATATCTCAGCACCTTTGGGCTGTATTATGCTGTAGGCATCAGAAAAGCAGCAGAGAGGAGTAATGATTCACTTCTATAATAGATCTTGAAAATGAGGAGGAGAGTAATAAATGCCTTTTTTATGTCACTTTAATCCTTTGACTCTAATAAGCATTAGAGTATTCTGACCAGAGCTTCCACGCACTTTGGAGGAAGTTGTGAGCCTATCAGATTGTTACAAAAGAGATTTTTAGAAAAAAGGTAGAAATAATGTCTCTGTGACAAAGAAGATATTTATGATGGACTCAAACTGTAACAACATTCTAGTTACAGAACAAGAACTATATAATGCTAAAGAGAGTCAGTACTGCAATAGATGATGGAGGTTATCATTGTCTTTGAAAGAGGCTAAATACTTTTTTTTTCCATGTAGTTAGCAAACTTTCCATGGAATTTGCAAACTTTGGCAAGTTACATCAGCTCTTTTCCAAACAGTGTCAAAAGAGTGCCATTTATAAATCATAGGCAAGAATATACACAGGTACAAAAGTGCAAAAGAACAAGCAGTTCTTTAGTGCTTCTTTGTGAGCAGCTGCACAAACTCTCACCCATTCTTTGACCACGTGCAGTCAAAAAGCTGCTGTGGAGAGGCTAAAAGGAAGCTGGAGCATTCTTTTCAGTTTCTATTAAAGGCTGACTAGGAGTACAGGTGCTGCATTTGCATACATTGCTGACAGAAAATATCCAGCAAATTTGTGTGAATACACACAAACTATGTGGTAGAACAGATATTTACTTCTCATAGGTAACAAGTAGATGAGCAGTCAAGTGAACCATAGAATGTGTTTAATTTTCACATAAAATTGTTGTGTCATCTGTGTTGTGACTTTCCTGTGACATGTCTCATAAACGTAATTTAGTAAGTAGGGTATTTTTTGCATTCACTGAAATTATATTCTTAAAACTGTTTGTTCATGTGGTGCTCAAAAGTATGTTTGATAAAAGAAAGATGTTTTTGATTTGAAAACAGTACTTTATTCTTTTAAGAAGTGTTAGTATGTAAAATTTGCATTCAAAGCATTATTTGAAAGTTCTTTTATTCTTCTTGTAGGCCATAGAAAAACACCTAATCAGAAAGTCCAATGGAGGACTGACCTTCATTGGAGAGTGGAAGAATGGACACCTTGAGAGAAAGATGGGCCATTTGACCTGTTTTGCAGGAGGAATGTTTGCCCTTGGAGCAGATGGTTCCCGAGATGACAAAGCTGGACATTACTTGCAACTTGGAGCTGAAATTGCACATACTTGTCATGAGTCATATGACAGAACAAGTAAGATACATTGCTAGTTATTTCAGTAGCTGAATATAGAAATTGTTGAAATTATTTCTAAGAGTTGTTATGGACTTATTCCTTTTCTAGTATGCGCTGTTTTTATACCAGTGTAATTGTCTTAATGTCAATTGTATTTACTTCTCATCTCCATCATGGTGAGTAAATGTGAAATCTTCCTGTATGTTTGCCCCTATTTTTGCATCACTTGTCAACAATATGCAATGTGGGTGCAGGGATGAAGGGAGTTTTTCATTTCATATATGTTATTCTTACAGTTCTGTAGAGTGAGAAATTTGTGAAAGCAATTTCAACTGATTTTAGTAATAATACATTCTGGCTAAGTACAATTAGAGTAGAGTGGATGGAGATAACTGTGCAAATTGTGCGATGATCAAAGACCTGGCTAATAACAAAGCAGTTGGGCAGGAAATTTCTCAAGTTAGTCTTTTGGATCATGTTCTCTTTTTTTTTTTTGTCTTTAAAGTGACCTTGATGCATAAAGTTGGAGTGTGCTATTTACACTTACTATGGGTATAAAATCGAAAGACAATTAAAACTCAGGAGTCTTAGGATAATAAACAGGAAGACCTTGACTGGACTGTGAGAAGGAAGAAGTTAATAGAAAAAAGACCAGGAGCTCTTTCTGTAAATTGGGAGTTGAAAAACGCTAGTGAAGCCTTAGCCTGCATCAGGTGAAGAATTTTCAACAGAGATAAGAGAATATTAACACTGCCTTAGAAGACATGTATAATTTGTCATCCAGAATACTCTGTACAAACCTGATTCTGAAGCAGAGGAACGCAGAGAAGGACCAACAAAATGATAAGAGTGACAAACCTCTTATCTTACAGTAAGAAAAGAAGTTGGCCTACTTAGATGAGAAAAGTAATATCCAAGAAAATAATAAATTTGTTGTCATATCAGTGGATAAACACTAAAAAGAAATACAGCTATTTTAAGCTAAAAGTAACACGGCTGCATAAAGAGCAAGAATTTGTATGCTTGCTGTGAATAAATATAGCCTAGAAATTGAAAATGTGGCCATCTGAGAAGTGAGCTTCTAAAATAATGTCCTTGTAGAAGTGGTGGGAACTACTCATAGCAGTTTTAAGATGAGAATTCATGTATTTATTCCCAAGGATTACATAGTGTTGTTATAATGTTGCCTTCAAAAAACAAACAAACAAAAAAACACAGAAAAACCCCAAGGATGCTAAGGAAAAAGATAGGAGATAATATTGCAGGTGTTGTTGCTTTTTGAAAACTTGCATTAAAATTTTTAAATCAGACACTTAAGAATTGATAATGCTAAATTTACAGCTGCAAGTGCTACCCTTGTTTTTCTGTGTTTGTTTTTTTTTCCTTCAGATTTTTATTCTGTACCCTAAGTAAGTCAGAAGACAGAGGGATAAAACTTTTGGTTACATATTTAATGACTGTGTAAGAACACATGCAAGGAATAAACTGAAAGTTGTACAGACAGCTGTGAATTTGCAGTGTCCTAGTTTTCTTTTGTTCAGTCCTACAGTCTCAGTAGTTTTTCTGCCCTGATTTTTCTGAGAAAATAATGATCCGCTATGTGTGAAATGTCAACAACTTCTTAACGCTTTAACAGCAGAATTTAGACATAATTGTACATAGTAATGTGAGAACTAACTGGTTACAGAAAAAGACTCTCTTTTGGAGGACAGATAGTTGTCCTCGTTCAGCTGATAGATTTACTTTTGAGTCAGCATAGGCAAATTTTCTCTTTCGTATAGACTTGGGAGAGCTTTTGCCCCATTTGGTGTCCTAGAGGAGACAGCAAGGCTCTGAGGCTGTGTACTGAGGACAGAGCTTTCTTCTTTGGGTAGACCAGAACTCTCCTTTCCCTTGTTATAAACAGAAGTATGTGCCTGGTCTTACTATATTTTAGTGTTGAGATACTACGTTATGAAGCAGCCTAAGTTTATGTAAGGGGCAAGTATTAAAGAACTGCTGTTCCAAGATCCAGTCTTAGCAAAATCAAAGCAGAATTTCAAAGAACAAAAGCACTTACAAAAGAGTGCTTACAAAGAACAGTTACAAAGAACAAAAGCATGGAAGGACATTATATTGCCAACTGTCAGTATGCTATTGTGCTTATGGCAGTATAAAAGCAAGCTTAGAAAAAAGAAAATTCAGTACTACAGATGGCATCAGGCAAACAAAATTCTGTATTTTCTGCAGTCTGTCTTTATGGTAGAATTATCATATCATGAAATTCCATCTCCTGAAATTCTGTTTTGAAATCATGCTTTCCATATTTTACGGAAACAAACAGGAGATTCTTGATCGCATAACAAGTGATTTAGCGCCAAGATTTCTGTGTAATATTATTTCAGATAGATTCCACTGGAGCAGTTCTTGGTCTGAGCAGATTTTACCACTGCAATAGTAAGTAAAATGATCTTGCAGTGACAGCACACCTGCTTATTTGGCACTGAAGTGATTTTATGAGCCTTCTTACTTACTGGAATATTTTAAGACAGTAATAGTATCCTCTCAAGCTGCTTTTCCGCTCTCATACTTACTCTGTATCTTCAGGCAAATTCTTTGACCCTGTGTGAGACAAAGTATTTGTCATGTCTTCATCCTTCTTTAACAAAACAGGGTAATATATCCCTTATTCTTAATTTAATTCTGTCTCTATTCTTATTTACTTGCCTTTGGAACTGAAGTTATCACAACTGATGTAAAAATCACCCAGACTTTCATCATTTCTAAGACCATCCCTATGGTCCCTTGGATTCATTTGTTCCTGTTGATGGCTTCTAAAGACCCTTGAGGTGAGAAAGGCCATTTTGAAGCCCCCTCCATTCTCTTGTTTACCTCTTGACTTCAAGCATTCTGTTGCTAGCCAGTTTTTTCTTTCTCAGCAGCAGATCTTGGTATTTAGGAGTTCTTGCTCCTTCAGTGCAGGCATGTAAGGCCATGGTCTCCCAGCTGTGACAGGTGGAAGAGTATCTTGTGTTTCAAGAATCCCACACACCGTAGCTGGTCTACAATGCTCCCCAATGTACTCTAACTTATTCTCCAACTGAAATACTTTGTCTTGCATCCTTAAACTTATGATAAAAAGGTGTATGGTTTACCATTAGTCATTTGGAGAAGATTGAGGACCACCCTGTAGATAATAAAGCATCCTGCTTTTTCACCTCTTTACTGATGAAGAAAATTGACTTTCTTTCCATTTTGGCAACAGTGATCACTTTCCCATGTAACCAGAAAAAGTTGCCACATGATCACAGTTTTGGACAGTGATACATACTGACTGACTTGCCTTAGAGCTAGCCTCACTGGAACAAGAGCTTTCTCCTGATGTTTTGAGTGTTCAGTCCCCTAGATTGTGTTAGTGATCCCATGCAGAATTTTTGGATGCTTACAGTGAATTACTGAGGCTTGCTGAAGATTTTAGAACTTTTTTTTTTTTTTTTAACTTGATAGGAAGTGTAACACAAGGATACCATCAGCTTTGGGACAGACTGTTGGTGGTGTCTGCCAAGTCTCCCAGCCTCTAAATAAGACCAACCTCAGATCTGTGAAGCTGCCCTATAGAGTCCACAGCCTACTGCACCTACAAGTCCTGCTGGATAAAGCAAAGAAATTCAGTCTCAGGCCATGAGACCATCTCTGTCTCTCTGCATAAAGCCAACAATTGGTGGTTGCTGCTGCTTTAGTCAGTATAAGTCAGTGTGAAGATGCATAGCTTTTTCACAGCATCACATGTGGAGGAAGGATGTAATTCCATTTTGAACTTATAAGATCTGTGCGTTCATATGTAATCTCAGTTCAGATTTGCGATGCTGGGGAACATCCCACCTCTACAGAGAGGAGAACTAATGTCTCTTAAATTTAAGAATGCCTTATTTCATATTTCAATCAAAAATTATAGTAGAATTGGTAGGCCAATTCCAGTTCAAAAGTCAGTTGTTTGGTCTCTGTATAGATCTCATTTCCATAAGGTGTCTGGCCATCGTATTCACCCAAGTTAGTGAAAGTATTTGTTTTTATTACCCTGGAGACTGATTAACTGAAAACATGTTAATCATTACCATCAAGTTAGCTTTGAACAGTTAAAATACGTTGCCATCTTGCAGTTTTTTAGGAGCAAATCGGAAATGACTAGCAGACTTACCTCTTTGGAAAAATTTGCTATTTGCATGCTGTTTTCTCAAGTTGTTTTTGAAGTCTCATTGTTCAAATATAAGTCGGTCTGTTTACTTGATGGTCTTCTATTACACTGCTTGTTACAAGTTTTGCCTTAATCCTTCATGGTGTTACTCCATCATTTGTATTCCCTTTCTGATCAGATTGCATTCTTTCAGCAATAAGTTATCCATTTCATCTCTTATGATGCTGTCTGTGCCATAGTGCTGATTAGTACAGAGAAGTGGAAAGTCCTGTAACTTTTCCTGTTGTATTTCAATCAGCATTATGTCCCAATGACAGTTAGCATTTACATTCACATGGACAGTAATGGATTTATGTTGGAACATAGTCGCTCTGATAAACTGATTCACCTCTCAGTGTTCTCCAAGACTTTCAGACTCCTGAGTTGTAGGCTGGAAAAATGACTGAGGAGCTCAGGCTCTTTCTAAGATCTTTGAAAATCCCTGTAGATTCTATTCAAGGTGATGCTCAACCTAGCAATCCCTGTGAGTTGCCTTTCTGACTCACTGGAAGAAGCTGATGGCCTTTGGAAGATGAAGGTGGAGTATACAGGCATGATTCTGATCTGTCTCTGAGCCATGGAGTAGTGCTACCTGAGTCCACGTTCTCTGGGCATATATATTCCACACGTACTTTGGCTTCATACTTGATCTGCTTTTTTTCTTTACCATAAGCTGTTGATAGATTATTGCTGCAGTCATCCTAAATCTCCCATCCTTTGGCAGAAGATTTCAAGATTTTTCTGTAGTTGGGTGTGCTGTCAAGAAGGCCTATGAAAAAATAATTTCAGATCTCAGATATAAGATGGTGAGCTCTTAACTGACAACATTATGAAAATGCCAACTCTGTGTATCGATCAGGAAGAACAAACTGAGAAGAAACAAAAGAGAGAGCATTATTATGTAGCTATATTAATCTTGCCGGTACATTTAGTTCAAACTAGTCTACACATTTCAATAGCACTGTAGTTGGGTTGGAAGAGTTGCAGATAGCCCTGGGAGGAAAATTAAAGGTACAGAATAATTTCCATTAAAGGAACAACTGAATCAGATAGGATTCTTTCATATGGAAAATAAATGTTTTATGAAATGACAGATTTGCAAAATCACCAGGGGATTGGAAACGTTGGGTGAGAATCAGTTGTTCACTCTCTTCTCCAGCAGGAGAGCTAGGGACTATTGAATAGATCTAGTATCAACCAAGCTGAAAATAGACCTCCAGCTGCTGGCACTGTGCCGTTACGTCTTCCTTTATGGGCAGAAGCAGCAAATCCCTTTGTTTAGAGATTCATTTTCAGATGTGGCTAAGTTTCCATTGACTAGTTGTAAACATTTTACTAGAGGATTGGATTCCCTTAGGAAGCACATGAGCTTTGGTGGCCTGACAGCACTACCCTAAACCAAGAGTTTGAATGAGATAGCTTATTTGGGGTGGTGACATCTGTTTTTGTTGTAAGATCTTTTCCAGCTGTGCTGGGTAGGATGAAAAGGCAGTAAAATAGCTGTTGACCCTTTTGTTTCTTTTGCTGTTCAAGAATTGATATCAGTCACTTCAATTTTATCCCATAACTGAATATATTAATGTGTTCATATTCTTTGTGTTTCGTTAGTTTTCAAGAGGATTAGTGTATGCCTGTAAAGATAGGTAGTTTTCTCCAGGAATTGGATAAGTTCATAAGAAAAGTCCTCAAGAATAGGAAATATTTATGAGACTGCTTGAAGATGAGCTAATTCCTGCTTCTCTCACATGCCTGGGATGTAGCAGCCTGATAACCACCCTTCCTCCTATAGTTTGTCAGGAGTAAAAATGTTTCTTTTTTTTAATTTTTTTTTTCTCTCTTTGCTCTGCAGCATTAAAGCTGGGTCCAGAAGCATTCAAATTTGATGGTGGTGTAGAGGCAGTGGCAGTGCGTCAGAATGAGAAGTATTATATCCTAAGACCAGAGGTGATTGAGACCTACTGGTATATGTGGAGATTCACACACGATCCCAAGTACAGGCAGTGGGGCTGGGAGGCAACACAGGTAACTATTTATTATCTGTCAGCAAATTAATTCCACTTATTTTCCTTTTGTAGCTGAAACACTTCAAGTAATTTATTTTCACAAGTCTCAGTAAACTGGCATATATATGGAAGAGTGTGTTGTTATTCCTGGTTGGGTTTTTTGTTTCTTGTTTTTTGTTTTTTCCGACTACTGAAACAAACAGTAGAAAGGCATGTTCAGCATTGTACAGCTGGTGAGCTTCAGGCTTGGAATACGAGTTACTGATCATGAGTCCTACTGTAGTCAGTGGTCCTCAGCCCTCAAGAGAAGTAATTTATACTGGGAAACAAAAATGTATTATAAATAACTGTTAAATATGTATTAGCGCTCGTTTACTTTAAAATACACTGCTGTTCTTAATGTTTCTTCTTGGTCTACTGTTAAAACTCAGATGGACTGTAGACTGGATAGCATGTAAACATGTGAGTTGGTATCATGGGTTTTTCCTTTCATACTTGTCTAAATGGAAGGAAATCAGATTGCCAATCATGTTTTATTACTCAATTATAGTGAAAAAATCCAGCATTACAAGAAGCAGACCATGAAGGAAAGTGAATAAGCAGTAATACCTAAGGCAGAACTTAAACATTTTTGCAAAGGTGTTTTAGAGATTGTTACTCCCTTGTATGGATGCCTTGCTGGATTTGAATCTGATTGTTATATATCCGAACCAAATTCCTGAGTGTGAAAATGTTCTTGAGTCTTTCTCATTGAAAATGCTTGCACTGGTCTATGAAAGCACAGAGCTTTATACTAAAAATTTGAATCTCTGTGTTTGCGCCCTTCTCTCATTCATCCATCGTATGTAGATGTCTGATAGTTATAGGCTGGTCATATGAGTAACAAGACATCATTTTCATATGACAATATACTATTCTAATTGTAAAAATTATTTATAATCTTGGAAAGATTTCTCACTTTGTATACTTCCTGGAGCTGAACAGCGATCCTTTTCTGATCTCTTATTTCTCACTGCTTCCACCTGCTGGTCTATCCCGGGGTCATGCAAAACTATATTGCTTTCCCAGCAGTTTTCTGGTTCTCTTCAAGGTTTGAGCAGCCAGTGGGCCACTACAACTCCTCCACTTTGTTGCTATAGCTCCAGAAGTCTTTGGAAACATACCTCAAAGCCATTTTCTAACATTAGAATAAACATTTAAGGTAACAAGATGCTAATTTACTGTAGCTGGGCAGATAAGATGAGGAAAGAGCCAGGGAAGAGAGGATTCAAGAGCCTGCAAAAACTTTAATCTGCATGTCAGAACCAGTTTAGCAAGAGAAGGAAGAGATCCAGAAAAAAGTACTTGAAGCTAATGCTGATCTGTTGAGAAGGCAGGTTCAGGGTATTTAGCTTGGCTCATATATATGCTTTCCTCAATTTAGTTGTAATAACATAGAAGAATCATAGTATTTTAAGACAATGCCTTAGTCTTGGTTAGGTTTTGTCTTGTAGACTGTTTGGTTATCACTAGCATCATATTATTCTGCACAGTACATCGCATTTTTATTCTAAAATTCATTGTCACTATCTCTAAAATATGTCATATCAGCATCAACACTAAGCGATATCTTCTCTGCTGCCTGAGCTATAAATGTGTCTAATGTGACAAAGAAATGGATTTAGTAACCTACCCCTTGCTAGTTGTATGCAACAAATGCCTGCTGATCTAACACCAGCTCTTGTCAGAAGCTGTGACTCTGTGATCCAAGATGAGATTATGACTTGTGTAGTAAGTTAAAGAATATACAAATACAAAATTTTTCAAGACAGGATCTGTCTTTATAGTGCAGTGCAGAGCTTTTGTTACACTTTCTCCATCTTGTTCTCATATTTTCGTTCCTACTAATGCTTTCAAACAAAACCCCTTCTTCTTCCTCTGTCTCCAGATTTCTGTATGTGTAGGGCAGGAATTTATTTTATCTTAAGGCATCTGCATTGAAGTTGTGTAAATCAAGCACTCATGGTGTATCTTCCTCTGTCCCTATAGATTTTCTGCTTACTTCCTCAGTAGTTTTTTTATCTGATATAACTGTAGAATGTTTCTGAACTCTTCATAAATGTTTTTGTCTACCTCTCCCTCCCACAATTAGTTTTTCTTTCCCTCACCATAATACTAACAGAGGAGCTTGGGAAGTTTTCTGCTCCTTTCTGTTCCCTGCATAGAGATAATAAGTTCTTGTTTTCCTCCTCACGCCTACACACTGCTTTCTCTGCTTCCATGCCTCACACAGTTCTGGCTGTGCTTGTTCCTCCATTTGTAAATAATCTGGTATAATACACAGAATGGTTAGCTTGCTGCTTTTGTGTAACACAGTCTTTATTCACTTTTCTGTTGCTTTATGACAACTGAATATACTTTGAAATCTGTATTATATAGTTCTCATGGCAATTTTTTTTTTCTCATAAGAATTTTAATAGGTGCTTTGCACTTCAGGGGAGAACAGAACTGTAGGGGTCAGAAGGGACCTCTAGAGATCTCCTATTCCAGCCTACCTGCTAAAGCAGTTTCCCTAGAGTAAATAACACAGGAACACATTGAGATGGGTTTTGAATATCTCCAAAAAAGGAGACTCCATGACTTCTCTGGACAGCCTGTGCCAGTGCTCAAAGTAAAGAAGTTTTTCTTCATTTTCAGATGGAACTTTCTATGTGCCAATTTGTGCTCCTTGTCCTGTTGCTGGGTGCTGTTGAAATGAATCTGGTCGTATTCACTTGATTCCCATCCATTAGATATTTATAAACAATGATGAAATCCCTTCCCAGTATCCTCCAGGCTGAACAGTTGCAGGTCTCTCAACCTTTCCTTAAAAAAAAAAAAAAAAAAAAGACACTGCAGGCCCTTAATTGTCTTTGTGGCCCTGTACTGGATGATTTCCAGTAGTTCCCTGTCTTTTTTGAGCTGTGGAGCCCAGAATTGGGCACAGTGCTCCAAATGTGGTCTCACCAGGGCAGAGTAGTGGAAATGGATCACGTCCATCAACTGCTGGCCATGCTCTTCTTAATGAACCCCAGGACACCATTTGCTTTCTTGGCCATGAGGGTACACCGCTGTCTCATGGCCAACCTCTTGTCCACCGGGACACCCAGATCCTTCTCTGCAGAGCTCAAAATGAATTTTTTTTCAGAATGTGAAACTGTCTTTTTTTTTCCTTTTTTTGTTCCATTGAACCTAAAGTTTGTTGACTGAGTTCTTGGTGATCACCTTTACTTGCTTCTTTGAATTGATGAATACCTGCCTGTCCTCAGAAGGACTGAGAGAACTGGGATCTAGTCTAGAGGCAAGTACAATTTTAGTTCCAAAAAAACCTTGATCTTGTCACAGGCCCTGAAATTTCACATGGCATTGTTTTTGAGCCCAGAAATATGTATTTGGCACGAGTACCATATTGCAATTTTTTCTTTTCTACTATTGATTTGAATAAGTGGAAAACCTAATTTCTCTGGTAGTTTGTTGCATTATTTAATTATTTATGCTGTTAAAAAGATATGCCCTATTTCCCTTCTGAATTTTTCTAGTTCCCTATGGCAATCATTGCACTTTCCTATGATTCCGTGTACCATATCAAAATGTGTTTTATTGCCTATGGTTTCTTTCCAGTTTTCACGGATTATAATAAGCCTGCTACTGGATTGTCTTAAGAAATTGTACTTTCTCCTGCTGTAAAGCATTTTCTCCAAATGTCTGCACCCACCTCAGATGTTCATCCTGCTTTTTTAAAAACGAAATCTGAAATGGTGTATTCCAGTTTTTGTCTTTATCAACAGCCCTATGCAAAATTAAAACTACATGCCTGCTTCTGTTTGCTACCCCTGTGTGTGTACTTGTCTCAGCATCCTAGGAGGAACTCATACTAACTTGTCTCTGGTGGCCACTGGATTCTTTTAAGCGTCTACTTTCCAGACTAATCTGGTTCTGTACTCCCTTTATTCTTGGTTAGGATTTTGTACCTGGCCACACAAAACTCATTTTGTTAGGGCTCCAGTTAGCCCCAGATTACACTGACTGCTGTTATTCACCTATATATCATATTTGCCATCAGCAGTTATACAGTGATTTACTGAAAATTAAGGTGTGACCCCTTATTGAATCTCTGTAAAAAGCAACCTATCCAGTGATGGGTCCGCATTTCCAGTTCACTGTTAAATCACTGTTGGTCACTTTTAATTAAGAAAATGATATTGGTAAGGTATAGTGATATTTTCTTCTTATCATTATGTGTTATGATACAATCTCAATTGCTTTAAAAACATTTCTTATACCTTTGCAGTTTCCTTTACTACTTTTTACTACTTTACTACTTTGATTTCATTCTTTGAAGTCTACCAGTTTGCTAAGAATGATGGTTTCTGTAAAAACCATACTTACCAGTGTCAGTTGTCCTCCTGTTCTTTTATATGCATTTATTTGTGTTTCCAAAATTGTTTGGAACTTTAGATCTGCTATCTTATATTTATCCAGTCAGCTTGCTTCTGGATAATAGCATTCCTTTGATACTCTTCCAGTCCTCCAGGACTTCCATGTGGTCTAAGGTGCAGTAAAAATTAAAAATTAGCATTGTTTTGTTGAGTGTATGGGAACCATTATGTCTTGGCCTGAACCAGTGATTGGGCCTTATCAGGGCCTTGCTTCTCACGAATGAAGAGGACCCTGAGCAGTCAGACCCCTATGGCCCTGACAATGTTGGAAAAGAGAATTCTAAAAAATCTGAACTAGAGGCTCTGGTAGAACTGAACCCTCTAGAAATTCAGCCAGTAGTCATTAAAAAGACAAAACAAAACAACAACAAGAAAATCCAAGAAAGACCTAAGGAGGTACCACCCAAAGAGTGGCTTCTTCCCCAGTCTATGATGCATTTACTGCATGCCCGTATATGGCTACTGAATTGGTGGACTTGGTCCAGTGATTCCAGCAAAGGTCAAGGGAAAGTATCCTGGCCTAGCTGTTGAGACTATGAGATATGGGAGCCAAAAGTGTTGTGATAAATGAGAAATTTCAAACTGGCCTCTATCATGACACAGCCAGCACTTAGGCAAAGACTATATACCACTGTCATACACAAAGAGGAAAATCATTCCTTAATTCAGTTGGTTATAGTAGCCTGTGAACTGATGTGACCTAATAAAACAGATACACCCACCCATAGTGGTTTATGGAATTCTATGGTAGAGCTCCAGAACATCTGGGAGCAAGGTATGAGGGAAGCCATCTGTGAGGACACTTTAAGAGTCATTTTGTGTATTTGATCTCACCCTGTCTGCTAAATTAGATGTACACATAAACTGGGAAGGGTTTGGTTGGGGTTTGTGGCAGCATCAGGGTTCTGTCCTGCGCGCCTGATCTCAGTTTTGGCATGGAGCAGAAGAAAGGTATAGCTTGATTATAACCCAGGAACTGAGTGACTGTGCATTGTACATCTGCACAGATAGATGAGCAGTCTTCTGAGGACTTGCAGTTTGGATTGCTCAGTGAGCTGCTCAGGATCAGACTATCTGTGTTCAACCAACCTGAGGCAGAGACATGTGGTCTGATATCTGGAATGTGGCAACGAACAGTATATATACTCATGCAATCGCCAGGGAATGTTGGACCAATACATTGGCTCAGATAAGGTAGCCAGGTCTGCCAGCAGATAACATTGCCCCATCACTACATAAGAAGTTGTGATCTACTGGGCAGGAGACAACATGGGAAGCAGTAAAAGCATGGGGGCTGCCCATTCAAATGTCAGATATTGTCCAGGCATGTCAAGAATGAGAAGCATACTCCAGGGTACAACTGAGTCCTTTGCCAGAAACAACAGTGCATCACACTGAAGGGCATCATCCGTTGTACAGATTGCAGGTCTTCTACATAGGCCCCCTCCCTCAATCTGAAGGGGCCAGATGTGTCTTGAACTACGTTGACACAGTAAGTGGATTAGTGCAGGACTATCCAGAGCTAAAAGCAAATCAAGCCTGAGCAAATCAAGGTAATAACTAAATGAATGGTAGCATAAAGACTCCTCAAGTCATCCAAAGTGACCAGTGAACAACAGTACGAAAGTGGGCTGAGGAAAACAACATCAAATGGTTGTTCCATCTGCCTTGCAATCTGATGGGAGCAGGCCTGGTACAGCAGTATAATAGCATTCTAAGTGCCACTCAGAAGTCCGATTCTCAGTCCTTGCAGAGGTGGACTGAGAGACTGCACAAAATGCTGAAAGACATGAATGAAAGACTCAGAGATGGCAGCACCCTGCATGTTACAAACAACTTGGGGCTCACCGTAGAGGATCCAAATTATGGGAAACGATATACGATTGAAATCCCAAGTGAGAACAATATGCAGTGTTCTGCTTGTTGCCCATGAGAATTTAGAACCTGGAATCCACATAGTAAGATGGCCTTGGGAAGTGCAAGTTGGGCCAAAACTGTAGAGACTGCTCGCACCATGGGGAAGATTATTAGAAGGGGAAGGAATGGTAACACGGCAAGTAATTGGGACATGGCCATCAGAAATTATAAAACACCCCAATTTTCATGGTGAATGGGACCCTGATTGTATCCCTTTGATAGATCAGAACCCCCTGCTTTGGTACCTGATATAATTATTCAGCTGTCAATATCAGGTTAAAGGGTGTGGTATAAAAGGCCTCAACATAGAATCATAGAATCCTTAGAGTTGGAAGAGATCTCTTAGGGCCATCTAGTCCAACTGTCCTGCAATGAACAGAGACATACACAGATCAGGTTGCCCAGGGCCTATTCCAGCATCACCTTGGAAGTCTCTAGGGATGGGCATCGATCACCTTTCTGGGCAACCTGTTCCAGTGCCTTACCACTCTCATTGTAAAAGTCTTTTTCCTCATACACAACCTAAATCTCCCCTCTTTGAGCTTGAAACCATTTCCCTTTGTTCTGTCACCATACAGACCCTGCTGAAGAGTCTGTCCCATTTCTTACCTGTAGCTGTCCCTTAAGATATTAAAACTCCACTATAAGGTCTTCTCCAAGCCTTCTCCAGGCTGAACAGCCCCAACTCTCTCTCAGCCTGTTGTTGTAGGAGAGGTGTTCCATTCTGTGAATCATTTTTGTGGCCCTTCTCTGGACATGCTCCAACAGGTCCACATCTCTCCTGTACTGAAGACTCCACATCTGGACACAGTACTCCAGGTGAGGTCTTGCCAGCACAGAATAGAGGAGCAGGATCACCTCCATCACCCTGCTGGCCACACTTCCTTTGATGCAGCCCAAAATACATTCGGCTTTCTGGGCTGTGAGGGCACGTGACTGGCTCATGTTCAGCTCCCCATCTTCCCATGCCCCCAGGTCCTTTTCAGCAGGGCTGTACTCAATCCTTTCGTCCTCCAGCTTGAATTCATACTGCATGTTGCCTTCACCCAGGTACAAGACCTTGACTTCAGATTTACTGAACATTGTGAGCTTCTCCTGGGCAAGATTCTCCTATCTGAGCACAGTTTGATGATGACAGAATTGTAACCATCCAAACATTCTCCACACACTCCACACACAAACATTGTCACACTCCAGAGCAGAGATAAGCGTGCATTCTGCACCATTATTTAAAAAAATGAAATAATTGCAAGAGGATGCAGGTTATTTCCTATGTAGAAACCCAAAGTTCTTTAGCTCATGTTTATTTGTATGACACTTGCCTAGCAGCTTGTAGGTCTTGCAAGGAGGAATGAGAAAGTAGTTCTGTAAATCACATGAGCATTATTTCTTCAGAAGTCAAGAAATTCAATTTTTCCTTTTTTGTTTTTCCTCCCTTTGGCTACCATGCAGTAGCCAGCATCACTTATGATGTGTAAGAACATGCAAAGAGACTGTCATGAGTTTGATACTCCTGGGTTAGACATACAATTTTATCTCCAGACTGTAGAAAGAACTTGGTCAGCCTGTATCTTAAAATGTGAATATTCTCAGTATAGTCCTAGATTGCAACAGTAACTAGATTAGAACAGAATTCATGCAGACACTTTCTTCTTATGTGCTCAAACCCCAACAAAAAAGGAAATGTTTCCATCCAAAACTACAGGAAGCTTCACTTAAAATAAGGAAATACGTTGTGAATTACACTTGCTCAGAAACAAAGGAAATCCAGGCCTAGAGCTGCGTGGAGAGAAGCTTCATGCAAACTAATGGGCCAAATCATAGATTAATGAAGTACAGGGAGCTGTGTTCAGTAGTTGGTAATGACACATAGCCTAAGCCGAGCAGTTTCCTTCATCACTCTACCTTTTCTGTCCCCACATGAAACTGTTAAAAGAGCAGTTATCTGCTGAGGACATACCACCAAAACAGCGGGGAGGCAGAAACAATCTGCAAATCATTTCACTGTCATAGCTTTGGGGCTGGTTTTAGCAGCTAATATCCTGGCATGCTGTAAGATTATGTTTGTCAGCCAAATGATGAGTGTAAGGAGCTGCTCTGCACTACTGATGCATTCTTCCCTGTCTCCTCCTCTTCCAGCATGATTTTTCCTGCACTGTGTTGGAGCTGGTTAGCAAGCTGGTTTGTGAATCCAGAATCCATTGGCCCCTCTCTGCCTGAAATGCTGATTGGTTTAAAGTTGATGCTTTAAACATAAAGAACTGTTTTGAAGTCTGGCACATGAGCTGACTTGTGTTTCAACTGTATAAGGGGGAAAGAGAGAAGCATTTATTGGAGATGGAATTGTATGGAGGAAGAGGTAGCTGGAAGAGTACGTAAGATGAAATCAGTGCTTCCCTAAATATTAGTACTGTATTTAATCCCTAACTTCAGAAAGTCTCTGTGACTAGTTACAAATCACAGTCCTGTAACTCTTCAAACTCTCCCAGCTGCAAAATTCAGGAGTGTTTGTCATCTTCCTACACTCCCCATAGCCCATGTTATCTTAACTGAGCAATGAATGTTCTGCACAATGTTACATACAAGCAGCTATGCAAGCTTAAAGTTGAAGTCTGCTGAGGCTGTGTGCTCCCATCAGTATCAGCGAACAGTGAGTGAATACCTTTTTCTAGCTTCTAGTTGTTTGCCAAATGTCGTTAGTAGCCTTGGAAGAATTTTACTTTTCTATGTGTTCAGTCCTCATTTATTAACTTATTTTCCCAATCCACATCATCATCTGACATAACTACAGAGTGGAAAGAATTTCCTCCTTTATTGATCAATCGTGTTATTTTGGTGTTTTCAAATTTTATTTTACAATTGAATTGCCTTTTTTTAACCTCCCTTTTTGCAGGCAATTGACAAGTATTGCCGAGTTAGTGGTGGCTTCTCTGGCGTCAAGGATGTCTACTCATCATCTCCTACATATGACGACGTACAGCAGAGCTTTTTCCTTGCTGAAACATTGAAGTAAGCTGTTTTCACTCTTGTATGTTCCTGTAAAAGCTAGCATGTGTTTTTACAAGAATATGTTGACTAAACAAATAATCTCTTGTCATTTCCAGGGTGGTTTGGTCTTTTTTTTTTTTCCCCCAGCTTTCAGGTCCAAGGTTAGCCTATTTTCCCAGAAGAAAATACAAATAGATTTTCTAATACAACAAGCTTATGCTGAGGGAGTGTTCATTTTTGAGACTTTAATTTGATTTCTGGCATCACAATAGGGAAAGTATCTCCTTTTTAGAAAGCACTCTTTGTAAAAGACATTTTTTAGATGCAGTGACCTATTTTATACAAGTGTGTGCTATATATACTCTGCTACTGTAGAACCTATTTCTCCTGTATGTGCCACTGCAATGGAGTAAACTTGAAAAAACATCCTCTGTGCCCTTGAATTATTTTTCTGTATTTCTCCTACAGCATGCCTTTCTAGAATGTTTTTTGTTGGAAGCAAGAATATCAGGCATATTTTATAGTCTTTTATGTACTTCCAATTTTAGAATATTTAAAATGTTTTTTTAATTCAGTCAAGTCAGCAGAACATCTTCAGTCAGTTATGCGGAGACTTATGCACTCTACTGTATAGTCAGTTCAAGGTAAAGTGTCTGAAGTTTCTTTTTTATAACAAAAAAAAGTTATTCTGCACTGTGCTAGAACATTTAACCACCTTTAACTTGCGGAGTTGTTGCTTACAGTAAGAAATACATATAAAGTTAAGAATATGTAAAGAAGTCTATTATTAAGAGATCGCTTTTTAGGCCTGAGCCAGCTTATCATTGCTACTCATCTCTTCCATTATGATGCAGACTTGCTGTCGAGAGCAGTCTTTTGTCTCACAGTTGTGATCACACTGGGGTTTCGCCCATAAAGCAGTATCTCCAGGGTGTGATTATTTCTTGACAGTTATATAAGTGAACTTGGTAATGCACTTCTAGCATTGAGATCTACCATTGTTTAATGTAGGGTATCTTTCTGAAATCTTGTGAATTGTCTACTTTTGGAAGAAAAGTGCCTGAGCTATTATTCCCTACTCCTTCATCACTTCTGCATAACAGTTTGCAGAACATTGGTTATTTCCATGGACAGAAGCCACTTGGCAGTATGAATGTGGCTAGAGATGCTATTAGAAGCCTGTTGTCTCTGCTTAAGTATCCATGCCAAGGAGTGTATAATCAATGAATATTAAGATGTTATAATTACAAAATAAACAAGAGAGTTAGGCAAAGCAGATTTTGTTCAAAAGAGAATAGATAGAAAGCTTACCTGTATCCTGGGCTCACATACAAAACTCCAGCAGAGTAGATCTCCAGAAGAGATCCTTCCCCACTGGTAACCAGCTCTTAAATGGGTCTAAGAAAGGTGGAGCCAGGGTCTGCTCGTGGCAGTACAGCTGAATTGCCTTCACCTGTGCTCCCAAGGCTGACTCATTGCTCGCCTCAGGTGATCGGTCAGAGGTTCCCATACAAAGAGAAAGTACCTATGTTATTGCAAAAACCTGTCAGCAGTGAGGACTTTCAGTCTTTACAACTCAGTGATATGAAGAACAACAAACAAAAACAAAAATTGTAATAATGTGTCAGCCTAGTATGGCTTGTAGGTTTTTCAGAGTGAAGTGGTTATTTTCTGTTATTAAAAATGGTAATAATTTTTGTTATTTTACAGTATTTACTGGGTTTTAGTGACAGTTTCTGACTGAGAAGATTTGTTTGAGTTACTGGGAGCTCAAAATGCTCCCAGGGAAAAAATAGATCCTGACAGTCGCAGAGCTGATGCATACTTCAGGCACCATGACGTGTCTCACTTGTGTGAAAGGACTCCAAGTTCATCACATCTGAGAGAAGGATATGGTCATTGTGTCCTGCAGTTGAATAATCCCTACCAGACTTCTCTCAATGGTCACAGTACTTTGTTTCCCTTTATTGTCATTACAAAAAGAAAGTGAGCCTCTTTCTTCTGTCATCTTTGTTAATTATATTTATTTATTTACTCCTTTGAGTTAATTTTCTACAGCCTAAAAGCTATACTCCCAAAGAGGGGCAATATTTCAAACATGTCCTGCTGGTTACACAGAGCTTCTTGAGGAGCTGATTCTGTGTCATCCATCTACCTATAAAAGCCAAATCAGAGAGAGGATGAAGTCTGCTCCTGTGGGGCTTCTGTGGTGACAGGACTGACCTTTGAAGTATTGTCAGAATCCTGTCTAGATCTTTCATCAAAAGGAGATCTGAAAGTTCACTGGTGTTTCACTCAGTAACTGGATATTCTGAAGGATAAGCAGTGACATTTGACTGTAGACAGTGGGAATATACAGAACTCACATTCTGGATGTGACAAAGCCCACTGATGGGAGTGACAACTCTTCCTTGTCCCGTGCTGCAAGACCTCACGTTGGTGGAATAGTAGGAAATCAGGCTGAAACAGAAGTTGAGAGGTCCTATATCACAGTGATATTAAGCTTAGCTTGCATGAACACAATCAGGTTTTCTGGGAGAAGGGAACTGCCTTTGGAATTATAGCATTTGAGTTTGGAAGACTTTACAAAGATCTCTGCTGCCAGTGTCCTCTTACAATGATAGCATAACCACATTCAAAATTGTGTATTAAGAGAAAAGGAAACAAGAGAGAATCTTTACACATATGTCCAGAAATGTAACATCATTACATGCTTTATTTGCACTGTGTTTCTTTTTAATGTACAACATTTATGGATCTTCTCTGCAAGCATATTGGCACATTTCCTCCTACCAGAAGCTGCTGATGACTGCCCCGCATGGTGATGACAAATCAAATATCTGGCATGGCTTAGTGGCTTCTTCTCTGCTTCCTCTGAATATTTGATTTGATTTGAATGAAATAGTCTTTTCCAAGTGGGTTTGCTCAATTGAAACCAGTTTTTTGCCTACTTCTGCTCTGCTCCCCAGCCTCCAAAATCCTTGTGCTTGATGTCTTGATGTCTGTATTATATTATACACCTTGGAAAGGAGTCTTGAAAAATAGAAGTTACTTGGAAAAATTAAAATGCTGTCTTTGTAACAAGTTTTTCATTGTAGGGCTTGCCTGTGATAAAAATGACTCTTCAGATCATTATAATGGGGAAAGTTGTGTGAGTGCTATAAAAAGACTGAAAGCAAATAACTTGTTTATGGCTTTAGCTGTTGACTGGTGGGGCATGCAGCTGCTATGGTGCCCCAGTGTCTGTTGCTCAACTTTAATACCCACCATTTTTCTTCTCTGTTTTGATATCTAGGTATTTGTATCTGCTTTTCTCCAACGATGACCTTCTCCCGTTAGACAACTGGGTTTTTAACACAGAAGCTCATCCCCTGCCTGTTTTACATTTAGCAAACACCACACTTTCAGGAAATCCTGCTTATCGATAAAATCAGCTCTAAGAAGAGGAAGAGAGACTTTTCAGCTGTTTTGTTTACATGGATCAACTGAGACTTTAAGCAGGAGAGGAGATGGACACTTGATAAATCTTGACTTCTGAGTCAAGTACAGGCGTGAGAAACAAAGCTCTTCGACATATAGATGAGTAAAACTGAAACAAAGTTCTGTTTTATATATGACCAAAACACAGGTGTGGTATTTGCAGGACAGAGACTTCAAGTGCTTTGAACCCTAGCAAGAAATGGAATCTACTGTCTAAAATAATGCAGCAGCGTGAGGAAGAAGAGCCTTTCCTGTTTAGGGACAGGAACTTGCAGCTGCTGCTGTTGGCTGTTTTAAGGCACAGCATACCAGTCATCTCTTCAGTTCGGGTGGGTTCCAAATACTTTGATTCTTTTTCTTTTTCTTTTTGTTTGATGATGGCATGAACAAAGCAACAACAAAAAGCAACATCACTGCACCAGCAGCATCAGGATTTGAATTTTTTTCTGTACCTGTCTGAATTTTCTAAGGAACATCAGTTTGCCCAGACTGGCAGCCATTCTTGGGGCCTTCAAACTATAAAAACTAAACTATAAGAGCTATTACTTTCTCATTTTCCTTTTCAAAGCAGTGTTGAAGGTTCTGTGTTGTGTGCTCACACTCAAAAAAGCAATGAATAAGCATTTGGTTTGTAGTTTGCTGTCAACAACAAAGGCTTAGCTCATTTTGCAAGTTGTGGTTAGAGTGTGGAGCATAACACTGGGGTGGGATAAGAGACTAAGCGTTCTTTCTTCATAAATCCCATCACGTGGGAAGTCCACATTTTCTTGTTTTTCTTGTTTCTTCTGGTCAAGTTTGCAAAGATAAAAACTTGAGAACGGTCTCATAACTTATATAGCAAGGTACAGGATACGACATTTAAAAGTGCTTCCCTTCAACTAAGCAGCAGGAGTTTGTTGTTTTATGTTTTTCCACGCAATTTGGATTTTTCCTGAACATTAATTTCACTCTTTGGGTAATATTCACAGAACCTTATTTGAAGGTTTGAAATCCTATCTTATCATATTTCTGTGTATGACAGAAGCCAAGAACTGCCTTTGATTTAGTTTAGAAAACTCCTTTCCGTTTGGGTGACCTGCAACAGTGCAAAGCCAACGTGATTGTCTTTGAAAACAACATCTCTTACACATGAGTGGAAAAAGAAACTGCAGATTCTCTTCAATTAGTTGATAAGAAATGAGATGCTGTTTCCTTTTTTTTTTTTTTCCCTTGAGTACTCAAAGGCTGGAGTAGTTCAAATACTTTGAAATTGGGCTGGACAGTATCAGTTGAGCCGCAGTCTTCACAATTTTTGCTAAAGGAAATTTAGCCTTTTCAAGTATCTCTTCATTGATCAATATTTTTTTTTTTAGTGTTGTTCCAGAATCCTTACAGCTTGCATAATTATTTTTACTCCCCCTTATAGCTCTCACATCCGTTTGCCACGGTGACTGGCATTTGTGCTGGAAAAGAGCAGTGAGGTGCTTCTTTCCCTCCTAATTTATGCATGGGTTAAATCTTTCAAGAATTCTGATTGTCTTCAAACTCAAGTGAGTGAATGAATTGTCTTTAGTGAACTACAGCAGTGCAGCACCATGTCTAGAGGGACTGAATACCCTCTCCCCCTAAAGAATGTTTATATATGAAATTTCGTATATAAAAACCTTTTCCCAATATCACATTATAATTTTTCTGACTATACATTGAAATAGGATTTCCCATAGTATTTTTCCTCACTTCTCTTTGACAGTAATTTATACATAGCATTTTTTCCTAGGTCAAGTGATTATTTCTATCAGACTCTGTCCTCCAGACTGTCGCTTTGGTTTGAGAGGAGGAAGACACAGACCTTAGAAAACAATCTGATATCAACATTTTTGCCTTCATACCAATTACTTAGTTATTGTATTTGCAGCAGTATCTTAAAAATAATTTGAGAGCTGATAAAGTAATTGATGTAGTAAATAATACTGATTCAAGCAATTGTTAAGTGAGAAGTATCTTAGTAAATGGTTTCTTCTTATTAGTTGCACATTAATTAATTTCTTTTAAATCTCTCTAAGTAACAAGTAGAAATAAGGAAGATAGATTCCTCTGTTGTTTTTTCTTTCTTTTTTTTTTTTTTTAAGAGTGAGAGAAAAAGCACTTTCCATCCTAGGCTGTCGTCATACACCTCCTGATAAATGCAGATGTAGAATGGCTGCCAGTCTGTTCAGAGAAAAAATTCTGTCGGAGTCCCAGAAACAGCAAATTTCTTACCATTATTGGGTGCTCTGCCACATCCCCCATGTGAACTTATGTGAACACACCCCTCATGTGAAGAGTTACTATTCAAATTAATTTCTCCTTGAATCCCAGTGTGTTAATTCACTGCCACAAGAATGCTTGAATTGAGGACCTAAGCCATTTCATGTTATGGGATGGAATTTTTCTCAGTACAGTACTGCTATTTCTTCTTTGTGTAGACAAGCAGCAGGTACCAAATAAAGGATATTTGTTTCTCATTTTCCAGTTAGCCCAAAGTTTGTCAGTTTCTACTCCAACACTCTTTAAAAGGCAAACTTTCCTTTTCCTACAGAAGCTACAGATCTCCATCTATTCAAAATAGATATCTCCGTCTATTCAGAATAATGTGTTTTATGGACTTACTGCTGTGTCACTCTTAAATCTCTCCATCTTGAGATTATCTAGAGCAAGCCGAAAGTTTGGAGATAATGGATTTTCACTGAGGCATGTGTAGACACTAAACACGGATCTGGAAACTTCTGTCTAAGTGACGTGCCCTTAGTCAGAGTCCTTCACAAAGGTTTTGATCTGCTTAATGGAATTATGTGTGGCTCACAGTTCAGACTCTGGGTTTTCCCTCAGTTTTCCCTTTGGGTGTATAAGGTATGGGTAGAGTATTATCACTTTCATTCTGTTGCTTCTGTCTTACATACTTACATGAAGGTAGAGTGTGAATTTAAGCACAAAATGGCTTTCTAGTCCTAGTTGTTTCTGAATCTTGCACCGTATTCTCTAACAAAACAGTCCTCATTTTCTTTAGGTAGATGTCCCATTTTAGCAATTTCTGCAATGCCTTCTCCTCTTACAGGATGAAGTAAAGGAGAGAAAATCATGTACACTTTTGGCACACTGGATTTGGGCAAGAGCCTGGAAACCCCAGAATTGTCAATATCCTGTTTGCATGCAGTCAAAACAAGGATGCTGAGTTCTTTTCTGAATCCAAGACACAAACTTGCCTATTGGTCAGGATCTGCCAGCAGTACATTTTTTTCTAACACTTTACAGCCTGACAGAAGCCAAATTTATGCACTGGCCACTGTGGAGCTCTGTGTGTCCTGCAGTCCAGAAGTGAATGTCTTAGCCTTGTCTTCTAAGAATAAAACCTTTGATATACTGGGTGTTCATTTTGCTGCACAACGTGGTCCTTAAAGTGGAATGCTTAAAAAGAACGTGCAATATTCTGAGTAACCTGGAGCAAGGAGAAAAGCAGATAGTGTAATTCCCTGTGGCATTCACACCTTTGAAGCTTCTTTAGCCCTCTACTCCGAATTTGCAAATGACCATTTTTTACCTTTCGGTCACTGAGATATTCTCACCTGGAGCTCTACGATATTTGAATGTCCAGTATCTGGAGTTTTGAAAAGTGAAAGCAATTACATGCTCCCTATAATACCATCCTGTAAGATTAAAAGTATATGTTTCATTGATTTATAACTAAGCTGTATCTAACTGTCCTCATTGATACTCTCTTCTGTCCCTGAGGAAATGTATGGTATTATAAACCTTCATAATGTGACTCTTTCTTGTTTGAATGGAGAGATAGATAATAGCATTAACATTGAAAGGATCAACAATGTAATCTAGCACCCACAGAAAATGAGGAGGCAGCTTGCATCTCAGGGCAGTAGTAACAGGCTTTTGGCAAATTGTGCCTGTTACATACATTACTAAGTAGTCCGTGTTTTTAAGGGGACAAATTACAAGGAGGCTTCTTGTTACCAGAGAAAAATGCAAGCAAGCTCTTGATCCACGTTGTAGCTCAGAGATCTGTTTAGCCTAAGCCTTCCCTGTTTTGCTCCTTGAATTCTGAGAAACAGTCTTCTGACTCAAGAGCTTGGGTTGCCATACAAAGAGGAAGCCAAAGCTTTGTTGCAAGTTCTGTGCATACAGCTGTAGCAGAGATGAACAACACTAGCTGCTAAGGCTGTCGGCCCACTCTGACAAACTGCTCTGTAATTGCCTGGAAAAGTTGAGAATCACCGAAATCGAAAAAGAAAGCCTGGCTCATCACGGTGAATTGTTGCCTTTAATCCTAATTGCCTGGTGGAAGTTGGTTTTGCATTCTGCCTTTATTCTTGCTTTGTTTGACAGATTACTTTTCCTCCAAAATAACAAAAGGGCAAGAGTCTTTCTTTTGATGTGGAAACCTTCTGGCTGCCTCTGACCTGGAATCCTGCATATGTACTTTTTACAGATTAAAAATAATATTGTATATAAAAAAAAAAACGAAAAAAAGATTGAATAAAGAATGTCTTTAAGTGAAAAAGTTGGTCTTGTGTCCTTTGCCTGCACTAGCAAGCTGCTGTAGCACTGGACTGTGAAACTCATCCTGTTCCACAAGCTGGTTGGTGTTGTAGCTTTTCAATCCCCTGCAGCTCTTCTGGGGACTTTGTCACCTCGAGCACGTATCAAAACCTACTACTGCAGAATTAAATCCTGCTACCCCTTCCTTTCAACATGTAACTGTAGTGCTCAGGTTTTTCTCAAAATGTAACTGAACCTACAACATTTTGAGGCTACTTCTGTGTGCCACTGTGAAAGCCACCAAATCTCACAAAACTTTGAGCTTCCTACCATTTTGTTACATTTGGATCACTAAAATATTCAAGATCCTTAGTGATCAGGTCAGAAGACACAGGGAGATGAGCAGTGGCACTAAATAACCTGTATTTGGTTGAAAACCTTGCTTTTCATGATAACAAATAGCCAGTGAATCAGCAATTAACTCGTCAGTTTGTCCTTACGTTTAAAGGAAGGTCTTAATTGTATGAATGTTGTTTGTAGGGAAATGGGTATGAAGGAAATCTGCTCCAAGTGACTGATTTCCCCCTGTACCTCCTAATTCACCAGAACTGCCTGTAAATAACTAAATTTGCTTTCTGATTCACATTAGCTGCAGATAATCCCTGCTGTCTGACATCACCCTTACTGCTCATGTGCAGTACCTTGTTTTCACGGTGTGCCATGACTGCCATCCTGTGCATCTTATTCAGTGCTCCATACCCAGTACACCACCTTGGCAAGGTGCTTCTGACTCAAGATGCAGAGTCCTCCTCACTACTGTGTCGAATTATTTCCATAATCAGTCTGTGGCACACAGTCTGAGCCACCAAGCCCTAACTCTGCCACCTTCTTTAGTAGCAACAAGCTCTCTAGCTGTTCCGATACCACTTCTGAAAGTGCCAAAGGCTTTTTTACTGTACTTGTGGCTCTTCTAACAGGATCCTGTCCCTTGTGGTTGCACTGTGTTGCCTCTGCCACTTCAGTAGCAAAGTGCTTCATCCCTTTGCTTCTGCCTCTTCTGAAACACTGTCTTTGCACCTCCTTTATCAAAGCAAGCTTCTCTCTTTCATTTCTCCTTTGGCTCTCTGCCAGGATATCACCATAGCCTCTTCCTTGCAATCTGGCTGTGTGTGTTCCCTCCCGGAGACCACACGCCTTGCCTTGCCTATGCATATTAATTAGCCATACTTTAAAATCCTGAAATTAATACGTAATGGGTTATTTTTAGCCTTCATCTTGGAGCTCTTCCCAGTTCAGTTTGCTCAGTGCAAAGCCACAGACGTGCTGTGTGCCCTGGAAAAGGAAGGTATTCTTGTGCCAGTTCGCATGTGAGATGTTTGATGTTGAAGGTTTGCAGTGGTGTAGTGGTGTGCTTTGCTTTTTTTTTTTTTTTAAATTGAAGAGCAAGTCTGTTTTGTCAAAAATATTTGAGGCTGAGCAAACTCCCATGTGAAAGGGTTTGAGGAGAGTATTTGTTCATACAACCAAACTCCTCACAGGTAAGAATTTGGGGAAGAAATCCGGGAGGAAGAAGAAAAGCACCACGTGTTGTTGTGTAACAACAGTTTCACTGTTTTCTTTCTTGTATGGCTTCCGTTGTACAAGTAGCTGCAGGCAACAGGCATGTCTATTAGGATGCAAATCAGAAAGAATGACTTGTTGCCTAAGATAATGGTATAAGGTGTTGAAATTGGGATCATTTAGATGTTCCATGTGAATTACGTTACTTTTTGTACTGTACAGCACAAAAGTATATGTCTGCATGCCCATTTCTTCACCAATCCATGTTGAAGCTTCAGGAGGAAAATGTCCCAGAGAAGATGTGTGAGATAGATGCAGCTGGCTGCTACACCCTACACAACTGTGTTTCAGGAGGTGAGGTGTAGGAAGACTGTGTGGGTTTGCTCATACAGACAAATAGACCCATTCCTACTTGGCATCTAGATTATGCCTGGCACTCATGTCTCCCTCTGAAAGAGATTCTGCTTTAACTGTCTGAGGCTACAAAACGTATTTTGAGGGAAAAAAAAAATTCAATGAAGATGTAGAATTTGGGGATATCAAAGACAAAAGTTTTTAGATTAAGCAGATACAGAACTTTTTACAACATAAATTGCTTTCCAGGTAAAGAATGTATGGTACATTTCATATATATCTTCAGTAATGTATGCAGTACTGTGCCTTGATGAACCCGAGTATGACTTTGAACAGTAGAGCTACCCAGTGAAAAAGTAACTGGATAACAAAGATACAACAAAGTATAAAGTAGAGAAGGAAACTTCTAGATGTATTCATGAATTTATCTAAATGCTGGTCTTGGGATAAATCTTGTGTAATGACAAGAATTTGTTTATGGTAGAAGAAAATTAGGCGTAATTATCAATAAAGAAGAAGAAGAATCAGGTAATCTCAAGGCCTAGAGTAGCTGAGGACTGGAGAAATTCAAAAAGTCAAATGCAAACTTACTCTTCCATGATCTTCAAATAAAACTTTTTGCTGTAGTTTGGGATGTTGTTAATCTAATGTCATTAACAGTGAGAAAGTTCTGAATATACATTCAGCTATAATTATTCTGATCATCAGTGCAAGGTGAAACAAAGCAAGTGAAAATAAAAGAATGGTTGTGTTGGGTCACATCTGAGGTCTGCCTAGCATCTTGTCTCCACACTAAGAGCAAATTCCTAGGGAAGAGCAGGAAACAGTATGGATTGATACCTCACCAATGTACCCTAAAATGATCTGCAACTCCCTGAGCCACAGGTGGCGTCCTTGTATTTAGTAGCTCCTGATGCTGGGGTGAGTTTTATTCATAGGAGTTAGTTTTATTCATAGGAGTCTATTATTGAATTTGTGGAAATTATTTGAGTGAAGATCCTTACCTATGTAAAGCTGGTATGCATCAAAGAGGTATTTCTGATGAAATGTAGAAAGTATCACTACTGTACAAAGCCTGATGAACATCTGAGGTACAGTGTATTGTTCTGACTGTTCACGTTTAAAAGTGCCGTCTCTGTGGAACAGGGACAAGATAGGAGTATTTAGGAGTTTGTATCAAGAGAGGTGAGAAGAGTTTAAGATGACAAAATGGGGATAACTGCTGTCCACAGCACATCACATTGCTGATCATCTTGTGGGGGGCAGGAGGAAGGGGCGTGGAAAAGAACAAGCACACAAATTGATACATGGAGTATCTGAATGAATTAGAAAATTGAAAAAGATTTCTGATTACATCCTAGAATTAGAAAACTTGTTTATCTACTGAAGAAAAGGATGATGCTGTGTGTTTGCTTGCAATTTCAGGGACCTGAGACATGGAAATAGGAGGTCTCTACCTGTCCTACATACTGAGGTCCTTCCTGAGCTTTGTATCCAGGGCTCAATTTACAGAAGCCCTTTCCTTTGTATTGTCATCTGTTTCCAGTGCTGTACAAGTGTGAAATGCCAATGGATTAGAGAAGAAGCCTTGCTTTTCTACAAGGGTGGCAGTAATTCGTTCACATTTGCTGTGTCGCTTGGATAATTATGAATAGAAAATCACCGAAATACTTGCTACTACAGCTTTCTAATGTGGCTGTCTATTAAGTTTTCACTGCTGGATTTACCATCAGTAAAAGTTTGCAAAGTATTGAAACCCAGGACACCAACCTCTTTTATGTAAAGATTTGTTGTCAAACAAACAAGGAAAAAGGAATACAGTGCTAAATAGAAAAGAGTGGCACAGAACAGAATAATATACTTTTCCACTGCAGAGTCCATTGTGCAGTAATTGTTGCACAGCAAAACAGATTGAGATCATCTGTATCCAAATGCTCTCCAAGGTAATGTCTGTTGCATATGCTTATGTTATTTTTTGCCCTTATTTGTACATCTGGACTTCTATTATCAGTTCTTTCTGCCCTTAATTTGGTTGCATATCTTGTTATTGCTTGAGGCGCGTTATGTCTATGGATTATTGCTATACTAATTACCTTTTATGTCAAGGGGTTACCCTGACAGTTCTCTGACATCTTTGCAAGCAGACTCTTAGATCTGCACACAGTTATGCATAACAGAGTTACATATTTAGCATACTTTAGCTAAGCAAATAATTTCAAAGAAGCAATACATTATTGCTGTTAGTGTGCTTACATCTCAGAACCAGCATTACTTGGGCAGTGACTGACATCAAACTATAACCTGCTAAAACCTAATCCCAATCTTCTGTAAACTGAGACACTGCATTCCTACTGTGTCAGAGCAATGTCAGCTTTTCAGGTTTTTACTCATTTTTCGCATCCAAAATGATTATTTCCTCCAGGAAAAAAAACAAAACAAAACAAAAAAAAAACAACTTTGAACACTGCCAGTCATCAATTTGTAGGATCATCTACTTTCCTGGGATGCAGATTCAGTGGATTCAGTGACAAAGAAAAATGTACTGCCACATCCAGGAGACACTGTTGCATTGATTTTTATTAACTTCAATAATACACAAATACTTCTTTCCCAGGTGTATGGTCTAAGAAAATATTTTTATACACTGTCTCTGATTTCCTGCAGTTCCTGCTCGTCCTATGTCTTGATAGAGTAAAAGTCTGTGGGGAAAAGGTCAGCCTCTTCACTGACCAGGCTGCACAGCCCTGCAAGTGTTCCCTCTAGACTGATTATACTCAGGGCAAGATGCTTGTTAGCAGCACCAGAAGGATGCTTAGAGCCTAAGTCCATGGTTTTTCCCTGCAGTAAAAATTTCTCTGCCAGCTTGATCTGTTTAGAAAGAATGTTGATGTGGCTGGGCTTATCTGCTGCTGGTACCACCTTGCTCAGCACTGCTCACTGCCGTACTCTGTATTCAAAACATATCTGGGATAGTCAGCCTGTCTGAGTCAGGCTGCAAGAAATGTGAGATTACCTCTAAATAATATGTTTGAAGTGTGTTTTATTTCCATATCTTTGGTTGTTTGTGGGGTTTTTGTGTGTGTGTGTGTTTTGTTTTGTTATTTTGTTTTAATCTTTTGTCTAGTTCATTATTTGCATAGTTTAATATTTCAAAGCCCTTTTTTTCCCTTTAGCTCCAGAGTGATGAAAAAATATCCTTAAAAATGAAAGGACATCAAAATTTGACAGATGTCCCAATCTGGCAAAGCTTCTAGAACTTGATACCAGCACCATAAAATAATCAGAAGTGGGAACTGCTGCTTTAATCTTGCCCTGAGCACTGCTACAAATGCTCAAGTAAGGCTCAGGTATTTTTGGAAAGGAAACTTATTAAGATTAGTTAGAGATAGACAAGGATCTATTTTCCCAAGACACATCAGGTGATTACTCCTGTTGCCTGCTGTGGTTCAAACACTCAGTTTGCAACACCCTGTTTTACTGGAGTGGCTCATAGTAACCAAGGACAAAACAATATTGAATAATACAACATCCAAGTAAAATGTGCTACAATGTAATTGTGAGTCCCACAGTTGATTGTGCGTTCTTAGCCTACTATTAATATGTATGTTTTTATTTTTCCTCTCCCAAATGAATTATGAATAGGGCTCATACACTTAGCCTCGACTTGTGGGTTTAATCCCATGGACAGTGGGAGTCATCAACCTACTCGTGTGCCCTTCCCACCTCTTGCACACCTCAGTCTGTTCACCGTAGAGGCACAGTGAGAAACAATGCAGGACTTGATGCCTTGCAAACCCTGCTCAGCCTCAACTAAAACAATGCTCTGTTATCAGCGTTAGCTTGGCCACAGATCTGAAGCATTGCACCACACAAACTGCTGTGAAGACAATGAACTCCCTCCCAGCTAATTCCAGTGCGCTCCATCACCTCCAGCACTTCCACCACTCACTGCAGGAGTACTGGAGGAAGAAGGGAGGAATCTGTGGGTTTGGTTTGCGGGTTTTTTTTGCTTTGGATTCTGTACTCCATATCTGTTTCTACAGAGAGGGTTTGGCAGATTCTTGCAGACTGTCTCAGTTGTGCTTTAGTTGCTCTGTCATCACAGCTAAATATAGCATTACTCCCATTTGAGCAGTCTTTAGAGAACGAACGAGAGACATCCGAATGTTAAACAAGCAAGCTGTCTCACAGACACAGGAAGCCTTGGCATGGCTGTCTGGGAAGGAGAGTGATCAGAAGAGTGATCAGAAGCACAGCACGCAGCAGAAGCTCTAGAGATGGTTGTGCCGTGATCTCTGTCTGTGGAGCAGAGGCCTGGCCAGGTCTGTATTTACACTGGCCTTGCACAGGCTTTTTCTTGAAGCAGCTGCATCGAGCCATTCAGCAAAAGCTACTCTGTGAAATTTGGATCTGAAAGAGGAGTTGCAAAGCACCCAAAAACGTCAGCGGGACAGGAGATGAGATGTAGCCATTAGGCTGAGGGAGGTTGTCGTCCCCTTCTATTCCACTTGTGTCAGACCTCACCTACAGCACTGTTTTAAGCCCTGGGACCTCAGCATGAAAAAAAAAGTGAAACTGTTTGAAGGGAGTCCAGAGAAGGCAGAGAAAGTGGCTAGATGGCTAGAGCACCTCTGCTGCAAAGAAAGTCTGATAGAGATGGGGTTATTTAGCTTAGAGAAGAGAAGGCTCTGGCTTTCTCATTGTGCCCTTCCAGGACCTACTGGAAAGATGGAGAGGGACTCATTATCAGAGTGCAGTGAGAGGACAGGGATAGTTTTTTTTTCTTTAAGCAAAAAGAAGGTAGGTTTCGATTAGACATTATGAAGCAATGTTTTCTCTCAGTCAGTGGAGAACTCTGTGGAGAACTGATTTAACTCCACAGAAGCACTGCCATGGGTTGTCCAGAGAACATATGGGTGCCCATTCCCTGGAGGTGTTCAAGGTCTAGTTGGATGGGGCCCTGGGCGTCCTGATTTGTGGGTGGCAGACCTGCCCATGGCAGTGGCCTTGGAACTGGGTAGGCTTTGTCGTCCCTACCAACTGAAGCCATTCAGTCATTCTATGAATGCTTGCATTTGTATTGGGCTTGATATACTGAACACGCCTTCAGCTTTGTTCACTTGAGTCAACTGTTACTAGCAGCCAGCAGCCAGCACCAGCAACCTGGCTCTGTGTTATTTGTGAGAAAAGTGCAGACTTGATCAATTCAGAATTGCGGTCAGAATATTAGATTGGACTCCGCAGAGTAAAGGGAAATGCTCGCTAAGGGTACCATCTAGTGGTACTAACTAGAGGCAAGGACTTACAGAGGCAGCAGATTTAGAGACTGTAAATGAGAGGTGGGCCTGTCCTTCATGGGCAAATAATTCTTACCCAGAACTATTCCGCATCTCAGAACCCTGTTAGGCAGCGAACAGACTTGTATTTACCAGTCTTCCAAAGAAATTGTATGCAACATGAATAAAATTAAGTGGCCTTGGACCGATCACTTCTTAGACTTTGACAGCTGAAGCTAGCACAGAAGCAAAGCAGGAACACACTGGGTGTTTCTCCCACCTTTGTGCATTGTGCAGTTGTTAGCAAGCAGATGAGGGAGGGATGACTGTTGTTGATAAAGAATGTTTTTCCTGATGCAGGATCGATATGGCCTCATTTTGGTCAATTCTGGAGCCTGGGCTTCGGAACAAGTGGAATGCAAAACATGGCGCAGTGAGGTACAGTGGTAATGATTGTATAAAAGCGTAATTATTTCTCTAGAGTAAACTCCAGAAGGACTCTTTGTGGGTACATGACACAAAACAATGAAAATGAAGCAGCTGCGATGGGAACAGAGAGGAAAGGGGAGCAGTGGTGCAAGGATGCTGGGATGACAGCAGCTCTTGCTTCCTAACAGCAGTTGGGGTCCTGGTGCTGCTTCCTGCTGTGGGGCACCTCCCTGCTCCAGCGAGGGTAGGGGCTGCCTGGGGGCACAGCATCCTGGGGGCAAGTGCATCTTGCCTGCTGTCCCCCACTGGCAATGACGATGCAGTGATGCAGCTGGGTGCTGCTGGAGGTTGTGAGCAAGGAATGGCAGAAGCTGCACAACAGTGTGATGTTCTCTGTCCTGCTAAAAGCGGTGTCAGTGGGACACAGCATGTGGCGAAACCCCCCAGTGCCCCCAACCCAGTTCTCTGTCCCCCGGGGCCCCGCTCAGCTTTTGAGCCCCTGTTTGTCCCCCAGCTCTTGGCTGAGGCTGAGGTTTCCCTGGGTGATGCTGCTTGGATGGGGGCTGCACATTGGCAGTGCATGAAATCTCTTGCAGGTAGGGGAAGACCAGAAGCTCCATACCCCTCCAGCCTGCTTTCCAGGATACAAAGAAGAGCAGAACATCTCAGGTGAGCCAGATTTTTTATTTTCCAGGTGCTCCTGCAGATATGCTAGCTGCTTTGTGCACGGCTTGTCTTCTTACACGTTCTTCAAAAGGATAAGAAGTAGGGAGGATGATGAAAAAGCAGACCATAATGCAGAGCTACCTGTGGAGGAAAAAAAAAAAAGGATGCGAGGAGAAGGGAGCCCTCCACCTGAGGAGGGGACCCCGTGCGTGGAGGAGAGATGGGGCTTAGGGTTCCCCTTGCATATGGGTGGAGCTGGAGTGCCCTCCGCCTGGTGTCAACGGTTGACAGGCTGGTTCGGCCCAGTTCCGTGTCCAATGTCATGCTTTTATGATTTTTGGCTATCAGTATTCCACACCATAACATCATGTAAAGCGCTGGGGGTTTTGACTTCTGATGCTCAAGTTCTGAATGTTTGTCTGACAGAGAAGAACTCTTTTGCACTAGAAAGACTTGTGAAAAAATGCTTCTTTGCACCTTTTAGTGAAGTTCTAAGTGAAAGAGCAACACGATATGCTTAATGGACTCAAGTGATGCCGTTACAGAGGACATTTTGGAGTGACACTGTGCACAGGTATTCTGGCTCTGACCATTGAGCACTAATACGGTTTCATGGATGTAGATTTCCTATCAGTGTATCACCACAGAAAACTTGCTTTGATGTGGCACTATGAAAGCCAGTTACGCTTAGTTATGCTAAGCTTAGGCTTTAAGAAAACCAGGAATACTGGAAGACTTGCTGGAGAAGACAAGCATTTGCAACACTGTGATCAGAGCAATCACCACAGTGGTTATGGGGCCGTTCACTGACAGCTGAGGCAGAACTGAACCCCATCTCTCTCACAGCGTATACCTTTGTCCTTGACTGGTTTGGTATATTTGGGGAGAACCCAAGAAAGGTATGGTACCTTCTGTACGTCACATCTCACTGTGGTTGTTCTGCACTTCAAGTGTACTTCCACAATCTGCACAAGGACCCCTCCTATCCCTGTCCACCTCCACTCTTTCTCCCCTTCTCCCTCTCCTTCTCTATCTCCGTCTCCTTCTCTCTCCCTTCCTTCACCACTCTCTCTGTCTCTGCCTCGCTCTCCTTTTCCCTTTCCCTATTCTGTCTCACCCTTCCTCCCTCACTCTCCTTGTCCCTCCCTCTCATTCCCTCTATCTCTGTCCCTCTCTCCCCCACACCTCCTTTCTATTCCTCTCTCCCTGCTTTTTCCTCTCTCCGTCTCTCTTCCTGTCCTTCTCCCCTTCTCCCCCTCCCTCCCTATCTCCCTCTCCCTTCTTCTCTTTCTCTGGAAGTCATGCTTAGCCTCCTGTACAGGAACCATCCGCATAGGGAAGGCAAAGCAGCAGGAAGGCCCTGGAGGCTCAGCTGCTGGCAAAATGGCAGAAGGCCGTCAGGGGTCCTAAGCAAGTCTTCTACAGGATCTTCCCCACTGTGACACTACCAGGTGTCACTGTTTAACAAACCAGTCCACTGGCAGGGTGCCTTCTGCCCCTGTGTGACAGGCAGTTGTGGTCCCTTGGCCTTGCTCTCCCTATGTTGTTGCTTAACACCTGCAAGGCATGCTCCAGCACAATATGGTAGTGCAAGGACTTTTATTCAACTGTTATAGACCATTTGGCGAATGAGACAGCCCTTGCCATGCCCATCTAGGACAGGAGTTTCTGCTTTCACTTGACAGTGACAGCAGCAGTGGCGCGAGCAGGTGCAGCCTGTCGCCTGTGGCTTCTCTTCCTCCTCTTAGTCTGCTTCCTTTTGGAGGGTGAGGCCATCCGCTGGCTTTGCGGGACAGCCCTGCCACGGCGCTTGGGCCCACTTCCCAGAAGGTGCTTGAGTACAGAGCTGCTCTTCACAGCCATCTGCAAGTGGCATGGAGAGATGCACTGTTGGTTGCTCTTCTTAGAAATCCTCCCAGCCACGTCCATGGTCTTGTGCGTCACCCACTGTAGCACAGCAGCCAGGTAGACAGGAGCGCTGGCTCCAAAGCGTTCAGCAAACTGACCTCTGCGTAGCTGCCTGTCTGTGCGGCTCACAGGGAAGAGCAGCCCAGCCCGGGAGGAGCGGGAGGAGCGACTCTTTTTGGCCTTTGCTTCCCGGCTGGTGGAAGGCTCCCCAGAGCACGTCGCCTCAGGCTCCCTCTTTTGCTCGGGCACAGTGCAGACCCCCTCTGCTTCGGGTGTGCTGCTTCCTCCCATAGGTCTCTCCATGCTGCACAACCCGATCTTCCCGTGCCTCTGTCTGCCTTTCCTGCCTCCTCTTGATGTATTTGCTGGCCCTTGCTGATGTTTTCTGTCTGTTGTGTCCCTACCAGCCCAGTATAGAGGTGTTTGTGGCAGGGTGGCCCCACGTGCTCTGGCAAGGATCTCCCCACGCTGGCCGAGTTTCCCTCAGGAAGGGGTTCAGCTCAGGTCTCCTCCACTGCACGGTGAGACCCTTCACTCACCAGCCCAGTGGGAACCAGAGCACCTCTTGTGTGCTGGAACCTCTTCTGTGATCGCACCTCCCTGCTTGTGACATCATCCCCGTTGGCCCTGCCACTTGGAATGAGCTCAGGGATGGCCTCTGCACCCACCTTCTCCCATTTTCCCATGTCAGTGCCTTTCCCAGTGTATAACTGTACAATGCCAAGTGACAACGCTAATAGTTAAAGCGAATTCTGAACTCTCCTCTACCCTTAATTTTTTTTTTCTAATTATCCACTGCCAGCATTCCGGGGGGCAAAGAAGAGCGGAACACCTCAGGTGAGCCAAATTTTTTATTTTCCAGGTGTTCCTGCAGACGTGCCAGCTGCGTTCTGTTCGACTTGTCTTCTTAATCATTGTTCAACAGGAGAAGAAGTAGTGAGGATGATGAAAACGGCAGACCATAATGCACAGCCTCCTGTGGACGAAAAAAAAAAGGATGCCAGGAGAAGGGAGTGCTTCTCCCAGTGGAGGTGAGATGGGGCTTAGCCCTTGAGTTTTCGAGGGTTCCCCTTGCGAGCAAGTGAATGTGATTCTGTGAGTCTGTGATTCTGTGATTCTGTGAAACTGGGATGCCCTCCGGCTGGGGAGGGGACCCTGTGCGTGCAGGAGGGATGGGGCTTAGCTCTGAAGTTTTCGAGGGATCCCCATGTGTGCAGGTGCAGCTCGGGTGCCCTCTGGCTGGGGAGGGGACCCCGTGCGTGGAGGTGGGATGGGGCTTAGCTCTGAAGTTTTCAAGAGATCCCCATGCGTGCGGGCGAGGCTGGGGTGCCCTCCGGCTGGGGAGGGGACCCCATGCATGCAGGTGGGATGGGGCTTAGCCCTCGAGTTTTCGAGGGATCCCCTTGTGTGTCGGCACGGCTGGGGTCCCTCCACTTGGTGTCAATGGTTTACTGCCTCTTTGGCCCGGTTCCGTGACCCATGTCATTGTTTTATGACTTTTGGCTATCAGTATTACACACGGTAACATCGTGTAATGCACTGGGGGTTTTATTTGTAATGCTCAGTTCCAAATATTTGTCCGACAGAGGAGAACTACTTTTCCCGAGGTGGCTGTGCGGTCAGCAAGGAGATATAACTGTATGCAAGGTCACCTCATCCTTCTTCTTTCTATGCTCTTCTTCACCTGCATCAACTCCAAAGCAATTGAAAACAGCAGCAACAATCCGACGTCAAGCAATGTCGTTTAGCAATCAGCAAAATACAATGAGAGAGATAGAGAGTTTGTCAGGTAGGTAGGTCTTGTCACAACGCTGAGGTGTAGGTCCAGTTCAGTTGAGCAGATGGATAACAGCAAACGGCAAATTGCAAATGGAGAAGTGCAGATGGAATAGAGCAGGCAAAGAAGAAAGATCAGGTGACCTTGCACACAGTTATATCTCCTCGCTGACCGCAAAGCCTCCTTGGGAAATGTAGTTCTTCTCCGTCAGACAAATATTCAGAACTGAGCATTAAAAGTGAAACCCCCAGTGCATTACATGATGTTATGGTGTGGAATACTGATAGCCAAAAGTCATAAAACTGTGACACCTGGGGAGGGGACCCCGTGCGTGGGGAACAGCCCCTGGTGAAGGGGTCTCTCCCCTGAGTGCGTGCCTGTGGTACCTGGTGCTTGTCGCATTTTCAGGCGCTCTGGCTGCTCCGTAGCTGAGGTGGTCTCGCTGCTCTTTGGCCTGTGTCTCTGCTAGCCTCTTCTTGCCCGCCTGCTGGCTGCGGCCATGTACACCTATCCGAGGCTGAGCTTCTCCCTGCCGTTGTGCTTTGCTTTCAAGATCTCTTGTTTCACAAGCTCTCTCTGTTCAGCTCTGTTATATCTAGGTGGGAAGAAATATAATCACCAGTTATTTTCTTGCAACTTCTGTGGTTCTGCATCTTTCTTTCAGAAAGCCCACTCCCTCCCATGTTTATTTTCTGTTAGCTGTCGGTTACAATCTTGCCCGTACTGACAAAATTCTGGTTTTACCACACTTACTTTTTCAGGAAGCTGTACGTTTGCAGAAGCTGGCACAGCTTTCCATGAAAAAGAGCGCAGGAGGAGGAACGCGGGACGGAGATTAGGCTCGGCCTCTCGGCGCCGTGCCCCAGCGTCGCGTCTTCTGTCGCTCAACGGCCGAAGCAGACGGGCGGCGACGAAAGCTGCCGGCTGCCTTAATGCCGGAGGCAGTGCCGGCACTCGGGAGGACGGCAGAGCCCGGCGCTGCTCGGCTCGAAGCGCTCCCGGCCCGCCCGGCCCGTTTCCCCACCTGGCAGCGCGGCGTCGGCTCGGCTCCGGGTGCAGCAGGCAGCCGTGCTTAGCGGCGTCACGGCAAGCAAGCCGCTAGCAACGGCACGCGTTCCAACGGGCTGCCACCCGCACAGCGCCCGCCCCAGCCGCGCGCCGCCGCGACAACGGCTGCCTGCCCTCCTCCTCGCCGCTCCTCCTCTGCCTCCCCCTCGCTCGGCCGCGGCCGCGGCCGGAGCTGCCCGAGGGAGCGAGGAGGTGCGGGCCGGGGCGGGGCGGGGCGGAGCGGGGAGGTGCGGGGCCGCGGCCGTCGGTACCTCCCGGGGCTCCGTCCGCAGCGCCGATCCGGGCTGCGATCCGGGCTGCGTCCGGGGCGCCGGCCTGCGGGCACGGCACCGCCATCCCCGGCTGTGGCCGGTTTTGTCCTCCCGTGATATTGGTTTAGCAATAAAGCAACTTGGATAATGACTATTCAAATAGCGTCATTATTCCCTTAGGGCAAACCGCAGAAGGACTCTTTGTGGGTCGGGGCTGGACATGGCAGTGTGAGACTTTCGCAGCCGTAATGGTTCTGTGATTCTACCATTCCTTTTGAAGTGCGGGTTTACTCCTTGAAGTACCAAACTGCAGCTACAGAGAACACAATAACGCTTCTCCATTCAAGGCTGCTCTTCAAGGATGCCTTTCAGAGAGCACTAGAGCTGTCAGGATCCTTGTATTTCTCAGGTCCCTGAACTCTGCATCCCTAAACCTCTGCGTGGAGACTGGGGGAGTAAATCCCCTCCTTCCCCTTCCCGCCCACTATAAGAGCAGTGCAAGTGATGCAGTGTATACTTGCCTTTGTATTGGGCTTGATATACTGAACACACCTTCAGCTTTGTTCACTTGAGTCTACTTCTTGCAGTTACCAGCAGCCAGCGCCAGCATCCTGGCCCTGTACTGTTCGTGAGAAAAGTGCAGACTTGATCAATTCAGAAACGTTGCAGTTGAGTATTAAACTGGACTTCGCAGAGGTAGGGGAAATGCTCGCTAAGGGTACCATCTAGTGGTAGTAAGAGGCAAAGACTTACAGAGGCAGCGGATTTCGATTCTGTAAAGCAAATGCCAACCCTATCGAGAAGCTGCTCATCAGCTCGCTCCTGTTCAAACAGATGATGCCACTGAGCAGGACTAGGATGAGATCAACGGCACGCGTTCTAACTGTCTGCCACCCGCACAGCGCCCGCCCCAGCCGCGCGCCGCCCCGGCAACGGCTTCCTGCCCTCCTCCTCGTGCCTCCTCCTCTGCCTCCCCCTCGCTCGGCGGCGGCCGCGGCCGGAGCTGCCCGAGGGAGCGGGGAGGTGCGGGGCGGCGGCCGTCGGTACCTCCCGGGGCTCCGTCCGCAGCGCCGATCCGTGCTGCGCCTTTCAAAGCGGCGTCCGGGGCCCCGGCCTGCGGGCACGGCACCGCGATCCCCTGCCCTCGGGCTTCGTAGCGGTCCCGAGCTGAGTGCTGGCCGGGCTGGAGCGGGATGGCATCCGTGGGTAAGGACAGCACAGCCTGGCGTGGCTGCTCCGTGTGTATTCTCACACAAATAAAGGGATTTCTTGATACCTCTGGAAGTGTTCATGGCAGCCTGATGAAATACAGAGGCTGTTTCTGTCAAAGATGGTGGTTGCTTTCCATCCTTTCAGACTACCTCTAGGGAAGACCATGAATCAAGGCCTCTGATATACACGATGGTCTCTTGAGCAACAGACAGTTCTTAACTTAATGTTTGGATGGCAATATCCTAAACTTACATTGGATTTTATTTCCTAGATTTCCTTAGCATATACTGATAAACAGAAACCTACCTCTACAAGTAATAGTCAATATTCCTCAGATTATACTATCCAAGCAGCTCAGGTGAAAGACTAAATTTGGCAGGAGTTTTCTTATGCAACAACAGAACTTGAAAAAATGTTCTTGATTTTCCACAAAGATCTTCTGCCTATTAAGGATATCACTAGTGTATAACTGTTGGGAAGATAGAAGTCTGAAACTTTGCTTTTGCCTCAGCTCGCATAGAACGGAGTCCACTTATTTGTCAAAAAGTAGGTTCAGAGTAAGTAAAAAGCACTACAGGGAGACAGCAGCAGTGCTGCTTCTCTGAAAAGAAAGCTGGAACCTGAACACTTGCTCCGCGAAAACAAAATCCCATCCAATCTGGGGCATAAGAGTTAAGACTTCCTCTTCTACTAATCATTCTGGAAAACAAACAAACAAACAAACAAGCAAGAACCATAACTCTGTTGACGCCCTCAGTTATGGTTTTGAGGAAAAACTTTGCCACACGCGAACATCTGATACCTCTAGATGCCCTAACAAGCAGAAGGTGGCAGCAGGTTCTCACTGAGAGCACCCATGGACAGCTCATTTCCTTTATGAGATTCCCAGTGGCTGATGTCTATTCTACAGGCAGTTATAAGTAGGATACATGGAAGAAGAAAATGCTTATTTTAAAAATTCATTGCCTTCTCTCTCACATAAATACATCAGGTCAGGGAATGCTAACACTCTGGCCTCAAAGATAGTGACTTCTGCACTCAAACTTCTAACCAATTTGCTTTGTCTTTCGCTTTATTTTTCTTTCTATCTATCTGTCTTTTTTTTTTTTTTTTTTTTTTTTTTTTTTTTTTTAGCATTTTCCCCACACTAAAACCACAGAGAGATCTCTTACAACGTTAAGGTTAAGTGCTCTTAGTGTTCCTCCCAGGAGCAGATGGATATGATGACACTTTCGAGATGTCAGAATTTCAGCCCCCTTTCATGGAGGAGACAGCACTGTGAAGCTACACAGATTGTGTTCCAAGATTTTCTTGCCTTACTGCCTTGCTCTTTCTATGGTCAGCTGCATAAAATGTCTCTTAAAGTATGGCTAGGTGAATTACGTTCTAGATCCATTTTAAGTGTAAACAACCACATAAAGCTGAAAATGGATTGACCAAGAGTTGAAAGGCTGGAGAGCAGCCCTATGGAACAGGATCTGGGGATTCTGGTTGACAGAAAGTTGAATCTGAATCAGCAGTGTGCCCTGACAACCAAAAAGGCCAATTCTGCCCTGGGGTGAATCAAACCCAGCAGCACAGTGAGATGGACGAGGGAAGGGATTATCCTGCTCTGTGCTGGTGCAGCTTCACCTCAAGCCACTGTGCTCAAATTTGGGTGCCACAGTATCAGAAGGACATAATACTACTAGAGGGTGCCCAGAGGAAGCCTGTGAAGATGAGCAAGATGAGATGTACAGAGACCCAGATGTATGAAGACTGGCTGAGGCCATTGGTTTGTTCAGCCTAGAGAAGAGAAGACTGAAAGCAAGCATCATGGTGGCCTACAGCTTCCTTGCAAGGGGAATGGAGGGGCATGCAGGCAGGCTTTTCTCTCAGGCAATGAATTACAGAATCACAGAATGGCCAGGGTTGGAAGGGACCTCAGCATCTCTCTTGTGCAGCAATACTGTTCCTTTCCAGATTACCGAGACACACATACCTTGGCACTTGTAGGTATGAAAGAAAAATGAGTTTTGCTTAAGACAGAAGTCTTCTTCCACTTCCAGAAGGATTCACATTCAGCTTTCCTATAACAAATATAGCAGAAATCATATTATTTTTAATATATCTGGGGAGCAAAGCATAAAATTTTAGAGTACAGCTTCTAGTCAGTAAGTTTATCTTGTTTTCTTTGAATTTTCAATTTCATTCTACACCTCTGCAGTTGCTTTCATTTTAAAAAGCTACTCCTCCATGTGTACATTTATAAATTAAGACTGATTCTTTTCTGGAAGAAAACTAAGAATAATCTAGTGCGTCCATCTTTACTACTTTCATTTTACCTATGTTTCCCATCAGTTCCCCCTGCTGCAGCACCCAAGATTCCACACACCAGAAAAGCTCAGAAAGATGATGTAAAGGTGAGCCGAATAAATAAATAACAGGAAACATCTCCTAAAAGCACGCATTAATACAAGGTTAAAAAGCCTTGATCTCTAGTAGAGATCCTTTGATCTTTACTAGTTTTGATTTAGTTTTAGATTCCAGCTAATTCCAGGTGGTGTAAAGCACGCAGATGTATGAACATTCCTACTTGAATCCTGAAAAAATATGCCCTTTTTTTCATCTGAAAGTGAAACGAGCAGAATTAAAGTCCCAAATAAGCCACTGAGATTCAGGCACAATGTAGATTTGTCACATATCCAAATTCTTGTTATACTACAAGATGCCCATTCGCTTTGTCTCCAGCAGTCAAGGGTCCCAGTACCTCTACTTCAACCAGCTCAGCTGAGACTGCAAACCCAGACTACTTCATTAGCAGTTCTCAGTGTCTGTCTGCCAAGAGATACTTGGAGGAGTCCTTGGCAGTACAAGACTAGCTCTGCCCTAACTTGTCCTGCAAACAGCTGCTTTAGATGGGAGTGGTACACATGCATGTCTCCTGCCAAGATTTTTTCACAAGTGCATTCAGAAAGCTGGAGACCAAGGGCAGCAGTTTCTGGAATGATGGAATGTCTGCGGTGCCCACCTCCCTTTTCAAATGAACCCATGCCACTTAAAAATTTTCTCTCTAAGAGTCTGCTAGAATCTCAAAAGTGAAGCAGTTGCTAGATAAATGCCACACATGCCTACTTATGTCTTTGGATGAACGGTCTCTTATTCAAATAGGAAGAATATTTTGAGAATGGGAAAGTTGGGAAATTGTATTTGCTTTGTCTTAGAGCCGATGAGGAAGAGAGAAGGCCAATAAAGGTAGAGCAAAATCAATACCTATGAATATTTCCACCCAGTTAGAATCAACGTCAGCAATCGCAGTTAGACTGATCTCTGAAAATACCTGGCGCACATTATTCCAGTGAGTCCTGTTATCATTCTTATGGTGGCTTGGCCCTGGCACAAAAATAGGCAGACTTTATACATTAACATAACCTTCTCATCCTGAAAGGTGAGCAAGGAAAAAGGATGTTTCTTGGCTGATGTTTCAAACTGTAAC